TGGAATTGGTAGTGCAAAAAATGAATTGGAATTGGTGAATTCAATTCCAATTCTACCAATTCTGTGTACCAAACGAACTCTAAGGGTCCGTTTGGTTTAAAAAAATTGGTGGAATTTGAATTGAAATTCCATGGGATTCAATTCCATAGAATTGAATTCTGTCAATTTCAATTCATTTTTTGCATTATCAATTCCAAATCCACATAATTTTTGTGTTACCAAATACCATAATTGGAATTGAAGTCTCCAATTTCAATTCCATAATTTGAAACGGGACCTAATAGTAATTCTGATTTGAAGTGCAAGTGGATACAAAACGCGATAAGAACGAATAATTAGAGTGTGTTTTAGCCGCTAATATTTTACTGTACAGATTAGCCATAGGAATACGAATATTATTATTTTTTGACTAAAATATACGTCTATGTCCTCATCCTACGTTATTATTATGTCTATTTCAAAATATTTGTCCCGTTTTAATTTTTTATAATTAAAATTGATAAACGTTGACCAAATACTATTATTTTTCAAATTAATAGACCAAATAATTTTTATTTAATTCGAAGTCAAATATTTTCATTAGTTGATTGTAAAAAGTCAAAATTGAACCAAAAATATTTAGAGTAGTAAGATTTAATCCTTCAAATTAAAAAAGATTTAATTCTTTTTTAGTATATTTACGTGGTCAGTGGTTAGAAGATCGGCGAATCAGGTTGCTCATTTATTAATTAGGACGTATGATTATGTGTATGAATTTTTGGAGTGGGTGTCTATCCCCCAACATGTATATGTGATGTTCTCCAACTTGATGTTGAGTCAGTTTGGGAATAATGTTTTTAATTAGTGTTAACGATTTGGATAAATTTTTAACGGTGTAAATTAACTTTGAAAATACTAACACTAAAGGCTAGCACAAGATAAACTTTTTAAAATGCTAACGTTAATCTCTAATATTATTTTCAAACAGGCCGTTATGAATTTATGATAGAAGTCCGATAAAAAATATACTCCGGTAGTATATTTATGTTTATAATTGTTTATTACTCCGTAAAATTTGTGGTTAAGTTTGTGCACAAAATACTTTTTTTCGTTATATGAGAAGATTGTTGACCAAATAATTAAATAATTAAGATGGGAATTTTGTTTACAAACAAAAATTACATTAAAACTCATTTTCATTTTACAAAAAAAAGGAAAAAAAAATCTCCAATAGTGTTACCGCATAAACCCAACATACATAATTAGACCGTTGAAATATGGCATGTTGGACTCGGTGTAGATTGTAAATTACGCCTCCGCCCTCTCACATAATAGAATTACTAAATACTAACTCCGTCCGAATTTTTTTGAGTTTTTTCGGGTTTTGGGGGATCGGAGTAGACCAGTTGTGTGTTTGGGTTGCAGTTCGAACGGACAGACCGCCCAGTTCGGTCCAGGATTAATAACACTGATAATTTATTGCTTAGGTGAGAATGTTCATATTCATCACTATATAAAACTTATGGAGTATTTACCAATACAAGAATTGATCCATTTTTCTTGTCTATTTTAAAATAATGTTCTCATTCTCCTTTTTAAAGAAAAGATATGCGGTCTAAAATACGTTTATTTGTCCATTTTAAACGTCACAATTCATTATTTAAAAATCGTAAAAATTTTGTTTATTTGTCCATTTTATCGATTATTTGATAAAATTAAATATCATTGTTAACTCTTTTTTTAAACAACTTTTAACATGACTTTTAAATATGTAAATTTTATTTCTTATTCAAATACCAATTTTCAATTTTTATTTTTGTTCTAATACCAATATTCTTGAATTGGTAAACATTTAAGGATGGAGGTAGTATCCTAAAATGAATGTAAAAAACAAATTAACTTTTTTACATTAATTTTTGGTACTAATTATATACTATAGAAATTAGAAAGTCTTTTCTCCATATATATATCGCAACTACTGAAAAAGTAAACATTGCAAATAATTTGAAGTATATTTGATATTTTTGTTTACTAGGGGATGGAAGCATGAAAAAATGGAAATGACACCAAGTTAGATAATGATAAAGAATGGTGAGTGACGTGGAGGAAGTCTCTAGATAATTGTGACTTCTATGCAACAAATTTTTGGGATGAGATTCTGTTCCCAGTTCTCTGTCCCAACTCCATGTCTCCCTCCCTCCTCCACTCATATTTTGCCATGTAACCCATCTCATCTTAACTTAACACACAAATTTTCGGGATGAGATCCTCTCTCTTTAATGGGTGGTGGGATAGGAGATCATATGGGATGGGTGTGTGTTAAATTATGGTGGGATGGATTACATGGCAAAATATGAGCGGAGGAGGGAGGAGGGCATGGAGTTGGGACAGGGAATTGGGGACAAAGAGGATCCCATCCCCAAATTTTCTCCTACATTATTTTTTTTCTTACTTGCTAACTACTACCCCTTTTGTTCGTTTTTTTCCCTTTTTCTTTTTTTGGTTAAACAACAATTTTTTGAATTATAATTTATAAATAAAATTATAAAATACAAAATAATAAAATACATTATATTTTTTATTGAATTATGATATTTAATTTTAAATATAGCTTTAAAATATCACATCCTAATATGAATATTCTCATTTCATTTTAGTAGTTTATTTTTAACATTTCTCACTTTTCTTATTTTAAATTCGGGTTTCCATAACCTATCACAACGTATGATTGCTTCAGCATGGTATTTCATTCAAATAAATTGAATATCATAATGTGATTTTAATGGCCATGGTCAAAAGAATTAGAGTGATTTTAATATTCTAGTGCTATTTTTTTTTATTTAAAATATGTACTTCCTAACAATTAAAATTATGTACTCCCTCCGTCCCAAATTATTTGCAACGTTTACTTTTTCAGCAGTTGCAGGAACTTTTATTTATTTCTACGTTTTCATTGGTTATTTGATAAAATAAAATATTCTTGACACCTCTTATTTCGAAGAACTTTTCATGTAGTTTTTTATATGTAATTTTTATTTCTTTTTACCAATATATAAATAAAATGAATTGAAAAAACTTGATATTTTGCCTCGTTAATAGAAATGTGACAAATAATTTGGGACGAAGAAAGTATTACATGATGAGGGTTGAAATGTCAAATGTCTCAAATATTTGGCGAGGGGGGAGGGGTACGGTGGAGTATAAATTTTCTTGGTAAATTAATGCTCACAGTATAGTGATCTCGAATTAAACGTCTTTGTTAGTGAAAAAAATTGTCAAGTAGTCAACTAACCACATTTATCAATTTACAGCTTCTCATTTGGTCAATAACCACATTTATTCTACTTGGGAAAAAAGATGAGCCATATTATCGAGAGTCCCTAACCTGATCGGATGTTTACTGAAAAAAGGTAAATTAGACTTTAGTCGTAGATTGATGACAAGGTGTAGAACCTACACCTGATACTTGTAGAGACCTATATTTGACATAATTGTCTCCTAGCACAGTTGCAATGAACTGAATTCGGCTCTACCTCCTTAACACTTCATATCTTTGCCTACTGTGCAACGTCCACGAATACATTTATTCCACTTGAAAATGTACTGCATATTCTCCATCAGAGGAAGGTCATGTTTGAATTTGATCAATATATAATCTTGAAAATGAAAAATTGAATTACATACAATTTTTTTTCATATCCAGTTGTTAGTATAAAATCACATTTTTTAAAGCAAGCTCACATTCCCATCCATCTTATAATCTCAATATCTTAATTGTATAGGTGGCACTCGAATACCACATGTGAAGTGCATATGTTAAGTAATACCCCGTAACATTTTTAGACATACATACAATATTTTTTTCAGACATATACTTTCATTAATTATAAATTAAAATAAAACAATTATGCCGTATTTTTTTAAATAAAACTTTTATGTAATTTTTTTTAAAAAAATGATTTTTTTTAAAATTTAAATTTAGTACCAATATTTTTAAAAAATAACATGAATTAAATGTGCTAAATTAATTTTGCCATTTGAATAAGTGGGCCATAGACACACATGTATTTGCAGGTAGAGGACATGGCGTGATTGGATGGAGTGATGATGGACTCCTCCCAAAATCGTGTGTACGTACCACTCCCATTTAACCCAACAAACGTGTCATTGCACCAAACGCGTTTTTTCTTCACCTTCTCGACTTAAAAACTTAACGGTTTGAAAACATTTAGTTTTAATTTTTTAAAAATTAAGTTGTAGGAATAGAAAATGATTTCTGCAAATAAGACCTTAGTTGGTCAACATGGTGTAAAAAATAATATCTAGATTCGATTTCAGATAATAACGATGAAAAATGATTGTGATTCGCATGTCATCTTTGCATGTTTCATAAATTGATATCACCAAATCTGAGAGGGGGCGTCGGAGATGAGACTCATCTTTTTATAAATTGATACCACTCTTATTATCAATGAGCAATTAAACTCAAGTTATATGATTTGAACTGCCTAAATCGGCAATCTAAGAAGAGAAGGGTTGGGTTGAGGTGCGAGGGGTTTGGAGGTAGTTTGACGGAGAAGAATCATTAATTTTACCACTGAAATGTTGTAGATGTCTCGAGTCATTTTAAGGTCAAAATAATCAGGTAAAAAGAAACTTAGTGATATTTTTTTTAAAAAAATTAATATTTTGAAACTATGTATAAATATTACAATTTGCACGACAACACAAGTATCAAAATCACAGTTTACAAATTTGATCAAGAAGAATCAAACGAAAAAGATAGAAAGAACATCCCATGCAATAGTTAGGAGTGGTTGCCAAGTGGGAACTAAGTTGTGGAGAAGTGTGGGAGTGGGCAATGAATTGGTCAAACCTAAAATCATACGCCACACTCTTCCGACCCATACAAAATTAAATTCGAAGCAATCTTTCAAAGCTGCGTGGAAAAAGAAAAGCATATACCGATGATGGGATTGCATTGTTGGCCTTTCACCCACACTTGGGCCCAATTTCTAACTTTCTCCACAACTCATTCATTCCCCTAGAAAGTCTCTTAAAGCATATATCCTCACAAGTCACAAAGTCTACACAAATATAGTGTTGATTTTCGTCTATTCTATTTTCGTAAGTATTCCAACGTCTAGTATTTGTCATACATGTTGAAAGGATTTTAAAGGAAATGTACATACTGATTGTGATGTCTGCGGTTGAACTCTAACAAGCTTCCATACGTTGTGTCTGCAACCCCAACGAAGAGAGCCTCGGTATCGGGGCTGAAGGATATTCCCGCGATTTCCCCGAACAGATCAATCTCCTGGCAGGACTCGTAGTGGGAACGCGTGTCGAAAATGTGCACAAAATCAGCCGGCTCCGCCATGGCCAAGAACCGCCCGTCTGAGCTGAAGCGGACCGCGCGGATTGCGCCCATTCTCCCTTTGAGGACCGCCAGGGAGCGTGACAAGTTCCTGATGTCCCACAACCTACAAGTTGTGTCCTGGTTACCTGTTGCAACAATTTGTCCGTTTGGGTGCCAAGCTGAGGCAAATGAATAGTCTAGGTGACCTTTAAGGTTGCCTGCAACCTGTAGATCAGAGTTGTAATCATAGCAAATGTTGCCCCAAAAATAGATTGATACCTTAAAACAGCAAAGCAAGCAGACTCTTTTTTTTCACGTGATTTAAAAATAAGGATGCTATGTTTTTTGAAATAATTAAACTTATACACATTTCACATTTTCACATCTGAAGGTGTACAAAGTTAATGATTTCATACACAAGAGTATCATTTAGCTCTATGTAATTTCATATTTAGTCCTATGTTCCACCGGTGCAAATTTCCTCAAGTTTTTTCACCCAAGCATTAAAGAGTATTTTTTTGGGGTTTTGCTAGCATTTGTACACCATACTTTTTAGTACACACATAGACAAGAATTGTCTCTCACCGTACAAACAATTGATGTCTGTGACAAGCGTGGTGTACAAATAATGGTATGTCCCTAGCCTTTCTATTACAAATCACCTTAAATAGGACTAAAACATATAAAGAAGTACCAAAACAGAAGTTCTATATTTTTATTCTGAAATAGGACTTTGCACTGTGGTAATGTAGTTGTAATGTGACACTGTACAAAACATTTTGGTAATGTACATGACTTTGTTTGGTAATGTAAATGCATTTGAAGTCATATTTCGAAAATAAAAGCATAGAAGTCCTATTTTAGTATATTTTTAATGTTTTACGCCTACTTTAATCTTTTTCTCTTTTCTATTGGAGGAGGGTACAAAGTCAAATGTTTATGTATATAATCAGGAGCGAAGTGACCAAAGTCTAGTCGGAGGAATGACCCATCTTGATGTGAAATGGGCCAGTATGGGGTTGAAAGTCAAAAACAAAACATGTGATGCAAACCCAAATAGTGGGTCAAACATGGTGTGCAAATACTATATTCTACTATGATTTTAATGGTACATGCTTAAGTAGGTGTAGCCTTGAAAATAATGGCTTTCATGCTGTTTTGTTGGGGGATATTGGAACAGCTGAATCTCTGAGGAAGAGAGAAACACTAACCTTTCCTGTATGAGCATCGGCTATCAAACATTCGGGATCGTCCCCAACAACCGTGACCATTTTACCATCTGGGCTGACAGAAATATTCTACCGGAAGATAGGAACGGAGAAGTCAATTCCTAATCCAAATGTGTTGGGAGTAACAATCTGAAAACAAAAATATAAACAAAACATACTCACATTCACAGACCAAGGGAACGTGAAGTGGTTAAGATAAACAAAGCTTTGGGCATCAATCACTCTAATTTGTGCGTCATTATTCGCAGCCATAACCTTCACCGAGCCACTGAAAATTGAAAACATCATAGCTTGTCACACTACTCTTTCTTCATTGAGCTTCTTTAGTGAGTTTTCCTCCATTTCTTGTTTATTCTTGATTGGTTTTTTTCTCCTGGGGAATATATGAATGGACTGGGGACTTACTTAGGTGCATGACATATGTCCACTGTGTTAGTTATAGCATTTTTGCCGGTTGTTAGTTTAGTGCAAAAGGCGACCCCTGGTTGGTTTATGTACTGCAGAAGGCGAGAAACAGAAAAATTATCACAAGAATAGCTCAATCTTTCCAATATCCCCATTTGTGTATTGTTTAGCTTTCATACCTTACATATGAGTTCCCCTTGAAAACCACCTGCAACCATTAGATTGTCTTTAACGGCAAGAGAGCATATCTGCACTCTAAAGAGCGTCTGGCCAATGGATCCAGGGTATTTCTGAGCACAGAAGTCAAAGAGTCAGTGCCTAAAAATTGATCCACATTAAGGGCAAAACCCAAGAACTCCCTCTTTTCTAAAATAGTGGGGTTGTATGTTTGAAAGTTGAATTTAGGAGGAGAGGTTTGAAGGGAAGAGGGGCATGTTTTTCTTTTATTTTTCAATTAATATAACCAGAGTTAATTCAATTAAATAAATCACTAAAATATTACGGAGTAAGTTTATACTCCCTTTATCCCGCTATCTTTCGGACATGGGAAAGTGGCAAGTGTGTGCCAAGTATTGAATATGTATAAACAATGAACGCCTTCGAATGACACAAATTTGACAAATTAGGAAATGAGACAGATAATCAGATAGAAAAAATTATTTAAAAAGTCAAATATAGTGCATGTAGGAAGTACTATATCATCATTTGATATGTTTCACTTCAAAATTTGAATATTTTGCTAAAAATGAAAAAAGAACAGCTCCACCCCCCCCCCCCCCCCTCCTCCTCCTCCAAACCCCTCTGAAACTCAACTCGCAAGCATATCGGGCGGGGGTGGGGGGGTGTTTCATAAGCTACAATACATTTAACTATGGATTATGTTTCTAAGTGGTCTAGCAATATCAACAAATTACATTTACATAATGGGCGCTACTTTACAAACATATGGGAGTAGTTTTTGCCTTACCGGTGATGGTTCAAGTGGTCTAGCAATATTAAAAACTTCCTTCTCTTTTCTGCGAAGAGAAGACCAGTACATGAGCGAGTTCCTTTGCACCAAATAAACATCATGTTTTGAGGTTGACCATAAGAGGTTCCTTAGCTGAAACCAAACAACCCACATTTTCAAAAACAGCAGGGAAAGATAAAAAAAGAGTATTTGGTAAAAATTTCTTTTGTTAAATATTAACATTGTAATGTACCTTAAGGAAAATGTTACTCCTATTACAGTACAGTTTAGAGAATACAAACAATATATTTGACGTCTGCTACTCGCAAATAAAAACAGATTTTGGATACTTCCAACACAAAAATGTGCACCATTGCAAGGTGTGCATAGTTAGGATCATCTCCAGTTAGAATGAACAAGGCACTTCTCATCCACTCAATAGAAAAATGAAATGAAAACCTATAACTTTAAACGAAGGAAAGAAACTGAATGAAATGGACTTAGATGTCAACGTAGAGAGAGAGAGAGAGATGATGATGATAATGATGCAGGAGAATAGTTTCAGAAGGAAACAGCACTTTAAACAAATTACTTGTGCAGTCTTAAACAACATATGCCGTATCCTCAAATACAGCTGACCCCCTTAACTCGCATGCAATGGGCAAGGGCCTTTGAGGCATATGGGTAATGTTGTTTTTGTTGTTGAAGTATCCTCAAAATGCAACCATACGACGTATAATGGAACAGAAGGAAAACACAATAATCTGAGCAAGGCTGGCATGGTCGGAAGGTCTTTGAAATCTCATGTGTTCCAACCATCATACCATATTGAAAATGTCCCTTAATGTGCCAGCTACGCTGCTCAGATATTAACTGCAATGATGCTTCTAAAGCTGAAATAAATATGAAATAGCAATTCCACTATATATGAATAAATAATGGTTAACAAAAATAATACTCCGTATTAAAAAAGAATGAAACCTAGACCATTCCAGAATGAATTGAGCTCAGTATTTCCTTCAAAATAAGAAATGATATCAGGGAGTCATGATTATATAGAACCCTAGAACCTTGGGAAACAATACATTCAATCAGTCTTACAAAGTGAAGAAATGAAAAGCAAATTAGAAAGAAAAAAACTGAAAAAAATCAAACAGTCCTACAATTGATATAAGTTGGTTTGTTGTCCTGCTATCACCTTGAAAACTGTGTAGCTAAATAAAGATACTTCTGTAGAGATAATATGGAAAATCGCAAACAGTTATTCCAATCTAATGTTGAGGTTAAATTTAAGTTGTAGAATTGGTAGGATTTGAGAGATGAACTGTGATGACAACCAACTTCCTATTATTCGCCATTTTTCTTTCGCAAACAAAGATCTTCTGGTATAACATAAACTCATGTTGTGCAGAAAGACTGAATTCAGAAAGATTCCAATTTATGTAGTTTTCTTAATGTGTGAATAGAGAAGTACTTACACAGATGCATAATACTCCATAATAACAACTTCCTTCCCAAAACACAAATCCTATTTGAAAACTTATTTTTGTCCAAAAAGAATAGTCGTAATTGAACAAATGAAGCTAATTTATTTATACCAATTGTATTTTTGCAACAAAAAAAACTTAAACAACTTAAATTTAGTTATGTGAACAAACAAATGCAAATGGCAGTGAAAATTGATGATTTTCAATAGTTGAACATAACTAAAATTTAAAATTTTTTTCCGTGGTAGAATACACTTGTTTTGGGATGGAGCTAATGGTATCCGTGCAAATATTTAGTTTCCAAGTAAATTATGCAAATACTTCGTAGCATTATTTATGGATCAGCGCAATTCGAAGTAGCAGCAGCATAAAGCCCTTTCAAAATGTCAAATTCCTCCATATTTGATGAATTAAGATACTTGTACTCAACTTGATCCCAAAAATAGTAAAACTATCAACGCTTTAAGAATGGAGAAAAAAAACTTAAATATTACTCCGTATTATAATATCAGGTGTAAGTAAAATCACCAGCTTTGAGGCCACAAGAAGCATCATCTGACAAAAACTAGCAACTGACAAGAATTATTTCTCGAACTGCTTAGGAACAAGTCAACAGTCCAGAAAGCTAAAAATGTGAAGTCAAAATAACCATAGCATGCAAAACTCATACCTCCAGGAATGCTACTTGCAGAAAGTTATGATCATAAATAAAATGTCCATTAGGATTAATTAGAAGAAAAAACACCTGCAAAACTCTTATTATTGCATTTGAAAAGAGGGAACAAATGATTGGGTTAAAGCACTCTAATAGTGATAAGTCTAAAATGCTAATACTAAATGAGTTACATAGTAGATGCAAAAGTAGCCACCAAAAGTTGAAGAACACATAGCCACATAGACATTGCCCAACTATTAGTCAAGGTACAATGCTTGGATAGGATGATGTTAAGCAAGTACAAGTTGGGTGGAATGAAATTGCAGTCCCTATCTGAAATTCCTTATTCTCTTTGCCCCATTGTTTATGACTTATCTACTACTTCTACCCAAATTCAAGTGTCCATTAGGATTAGTTCGAAGAAAAACACCTGCAAAACTTTTATTATTGCATTTGAAAAGAGGGAACAAATGATTGGGTTAAAGCACTCTAATAGTGATAACTCTAAAATGCTAATAGTAAATGAATTTCATAGTAGATGCAAAAGTAGCCACCAAAAGTTGAAGAACACATAGCCACATAGACATCGCCCAACTAATAGTCAAGGTACAATGCATGGATGATGTTTGACAAGTACAAGTTGGGGTAGAATGAAATTGCAGTCCCTACCTGAAATTCCTTATTCTCTTTGCCCCATCGTTTATGACTTATCTACTACTTCTACCCAAATTCAAGTTCGGATTTGCTTCATGAAAAGAGTTCTCATTTGCTTTTTGCACGAAGTCTAAGAAAATAAAATTGTGTAGTTGGATTTCATAGATAGACAAATGAAATTAAACAGATTAGCTTTGAACGGAAGTTAGCATTGATTTCCCAACACATTCATATCCAGAGGTTATTTTATTTGTCAATGTGTGATTTCAAGCAGTTACTCCGTAAAACATATGAGTCACTTGAGAGTAAGCTGAGAATTCAAGTCACCTGAAAGTGAGCAATTGTTGGTTTCAAGACCCTTGTGTTGTATTGGAAGTCATAAAACATGTACCCTTTCACCACATCCTTGTAGTCCTGGAATAGAAATATGAACATTTATCCTATCTGTAAGCTCAATTAAAAGCCACTGATTTGGTCTGGTGTATTAACATTCACACAAAGACTTGGAGAGTAGAATGAAACCTTCTTAAGTTCCTCTCTAGAACGCGAGAGGCTCTCATAGTTTTCGTATTGTTGCAACCTCACTTCACGGTAATTGTCTCTGGTGACATTATACGGCTCCCACGGAATCCCTTGTATATCCTTGCCATTTCTGACCTCCAGAGCAGATGTATCCGTAGCCCGGTCACCCTGCAAACCAAAACCACCCAAATCAACGCAGTGCACTCCAAAGTATGGAATCAAAACCACATTTACACGATTATTACCATTTCTAAAGCATCCTCAGTGTCGGACTCGGTAAATTCATCTACAAGAGGCCTCCGTTGAGCGATCCCTCGGTTATCTCCAAGCAGACTGTCATTAGAACCAGATACGTTGTGGTAATCATCAGCCATGTCCACAAGCTCCTGGCTCCGATCAAATTGCGCCATAGATTTAACACTGATGTACACAACAAACACCACAGTAACAGAGAATACGAATCTGATTTAGCAAGCAATTTCCGAAAAAAAGCTGAAAAATTCCGTCAACACAAATACGAATTGAAGAACGAATATACCCATCTAACCTTGAGAAGAGGATGGAAAGCGTAAACGGAGAGTTCCAAATCCGGGCCGGATAAGAGACGATTCCGATAAACGACGAGCAAGGGGAGAACTTAAGCTCAAGTTCAGGCGGGTTTTGATGGCCGTGCGAAACTAGTTTTTATAGCGGTGAGGGAGGAATCCCCTCCCTCTAGATTCGAGAAGGTTTGGGCGGGTCCCATCAAAACATCATCCCGCGGGGCCCAAACTCTGTTGTAACCTCGAAGATAACGGTTTTGCATGCTTTTCATACAGTAATGAGTGGAAACACAACAATAATAATATTGCCCAAAATAAGTTTTTTAATTTATTTTATTTTAATACTTGTATAGAAACAAGAAATAAATTTACATATTTAAAAAAATACATTAAAAATTTAATAAAATATGTGGTGACAATAATATTTTACTTTATCACATAAGCCATGAAAAATATAAATAAAAAAATCATGTGAAGTTGAAATAGTACTCTGAAAAGAAAAATATGGGACAAAGGGAGTATAACGAAAATTCTGGAAAACAAAATGACACAAAAGTATTAATATATGAATGAAAAAAAATTATCAAAAGTCTCAAACAAAAAAAGTGTAAATTATTTAAGAATAGAGGAAGTAATAAAATATAGTTGAGTCTCGTTAGAGTAGATTTTGAGGAAGATGTATGTATGCAAACTTTACTCTTATCCGAAAAGAGAGAGATTATTTCCAAGAAGAAATATGGGAAAATGTCATTCCATATTTATTTTCACTTTTCATTTAAGTAAAATATTTTAATTGTTTTAAGGTGGAAATAGTATTTTCAATTAACATTAGTCTCTTAGATAATATTGAAAGAAAATTTTAAGAAAAGTTTTGATGCTTGTAATCACCAAGAAAATACTAAGAAACATTTTAAATAACTATTTATTATGACTTTTTAAATATATTATCATATTTTAAATTAATGTTGATGAACATCTTGTTTATACTCATTTTATTTGTCCGTCATAGATTTTCTCTGTCTGTCATAAATTTTCTCAAATATCCTTTTTATTTGTCCTGAAAAGATATTTCCATTACCCATATCGTCATTCAATATTCCCCACCCAATTTCATTAAGTGTACTTTTGAAACTTTCACTTTTTCCAATTCTCCTTACAAACTACGTAGTATTATAAAAATTCAAGTTTGAAAGATCCATGACAGATGAAGAGAGTGTTTATTCTGAAAAGAGAAATTTTCGTGTAGACCATAAAGTGAGTACAATTAGCAACAAGTTGTTATGTAACGTGCGACGTGTTCTTGTTCCGAGTGAAAGATGCCAAAAATTTTCTTGTATCTTTGGTGCGTTGAGCGTGTTCGAATACCCACGATGACTCTTCAGGCTTACTATATCTTTTAAACGAGTTCCATGGGGACGACGGAGGCTTTAGACGACCTCCATTAGAGACAACCTCAAGGTCTATCATTGTTCCCAAACTACCCTTGACTTCTTTTCTTGACCCAAGCCTATTTAGGTAGATTTGATCTAATGTACTCAAATCTAAATGAGTGAAATCCAAGCCTTCATGAGATGGTACCAAGATAGGCAATGGCAACTCTCTTAGGCCTTACTAGCCTAACAATCAAAGCTCAGGTGGAACATGGGTTCAGGCTTTACTAGCTTTTAGATCATGATGATCTTTAGATAATTTGAATTGTTTTCACAAGAGTTATTTGAATCCAGAGAACTAAAAACTTCAATATTTTACACCACAATAATAGGTATGTTCTTTTCAACTTTATATTCTAGAACTCCACAAAACACGGTTTAGCTCCGTACAAAAAGAAAAATGGCAGACATTTATACTTGAATGACATTGCATTTCGCAGCAGCAGAATCTATCCTGGCTATGTATATAGCACACACTTACAGTATAAAGAATACTTTTTTTTCCTCCAGATGAACAGATACAGAAGAACAATGGCCAAACCAAGTGGAACCACATCACTCGAACAAGTCGTCCAACTTTTGCCTGTACTGAGCCAATGTCTGCAGGGACAAAGGGAGAAATTGTAAATGTTGCCCAAAGATTTACAATTTGTTAATACTTATTTGGTTTTGTTGTGTTAAGAAAACCCAAGAAAATGTGTTTTTTGTATGAAGGATGCAGTTAAGAACATAAAACCACAACAACAAACCTAGTAGAATCTCACTAGAGAAGGTGTGTGTATGTAGACCTTACCCAGTTACCCCTACTTGTAAGTAAAGAGGTTTTTTCCCCAAATTGACCCTCAAGACCCTAATGGAGTTGGGGGTTATTGTTGTCATTAAGACTATAAACGATGCTCAATGCTCACGTGTTTTAAGTAACAAGGGTATTATAAATACTTGTGTAAAATAACCGTGACGACTAAAGACGCGAGATTTATCACAATGGAGTAGCAAACCTTAGTGTAAGCATAAACGCCTGCCTCTTTAGGCCCGGCTGGACTTCCCCTGCGGATAAACCTTCCCTCTTTGAAAATGTAAAGCATGGGAATTCCAGTGGATAATTCCAAGCTTATGACCTGACCAAGAAAAAAACCATTCATTTATTGACTGTGGATGACGATGGAAATGGGAAGGGGCAATGTTGACAAAGACAGAGAATTCACCTCTTCGGAAGTTAGCTTGTCCAAGTACATAATGATGGATCTCAACGAATTCCCATGGGCGGCAATCATGACATTTTTCCCACTCTCAAGTTGTGGTTCAATCTGCAACATTATATACTTGAAGTGTGAATAATAGCAGAATGTAAGTGTATACTCCGTATATCACATGGTTGTTTACTGGGTAAACCTCACATAATCCTTTTGGGAGAAACTAAAAGCGTAGGTATGTTCACCATATTGACTTGTTTTTTCTTCTTCGTATTACTTATTCTAATTTTAATTAAGATCATACCATACCAAAAACATTCAGATTTAGACCGGAAAGATCAATAAGACCATGTGTTATATTTCATACAAGAATATTAGATATTCTTAGATCCAACAATGCTACTTTAGCCTATGGATGGCACCTAAGTTGAATCACGGACAGACAATCATTCTTTGTGAGAAATCATTGTTGGTGAAACACTGGCAGTGTCATCCTTGGTGTCACCCGTGGTGTGATTGTAACATGACCCTATTAGATCACACCAAAATTATTCAAAACAGATCACATTATTCAGGCAAAGAGAACATGTCCTTGGATACAATTTGGAAAAAAAAATGACATCAGGAAACACACACACACACAGAGGTTCTTATTCTTACATTCTCTTTGAAGTAGGCAACTGCTCTTTGAGCACACATTTCCAAACTCTCACCATTTGGTGGAGGTATATCATAGCTACGACGCCATTCATGGACTTTCTCCTTTCCATACAGCTCTGCAGTTTCCTGCTTATTAAGACCCTGCAATTCCCCATACCTACAAAGCACAAATGAATTAGATGCTCTGGCAATTCCAAGTGATATGGGGATGATAACAAAACACATGTAAACAAGCTTACATTCTTTCATTCAATTGCCATGCCGTTACAACAGGGATGCATTGCTTCTTGGTCTCGTCACTGAAAATTTGACTCCATGCTCTTGCTTGTTCATTCTCATTGTGTGTGATGATTGGCACCTGAATACAAGTTGGAAGATTTGAGGAAAACTAATTCAAGGTGTCAGCTCAGTTATGACACACACACACACCTTGAACTTGAAATTTTTCGGAAAAAAAACAAAAAAAGACAGAATATGTAATGCAAGATGGACTAGATCAGTCAGGTACTCAGGTATAAGTATATTTACTTCAGATGCACTAAGATCTCATTTGTAATGGTTGAGAATTAGAATATTCCAAGGGATACCCTATCCCCAAGTTTTACACAATTTAAGCGATTTCTCATTCCAATCGAGATTTTCTAACGTTTCCATAAGAGATGCCTCAAAAAAATAGCTGATCTACGTATGGGCCTGTAAGAAAAAGATTCAATGCAAATTACCTTCTTGCGCCGGTGCTGTGTCATAGCTAGCATGGCAGTCATCTGTGCACGAATCAAAGAAGACGTATAGATCATGTCAACAGGTATATTGCTGATTCGCCTCCCGGCTTCAATAGCCTCGTCCACACCCTTTTTGGTCAAAGGCACATCAACGCAGCCCGTGAACAAGTTTTTCTCGTTCCACATTGATTCTCCGTGCCTAATCAGGATCAAAGCAGCTTCCTCTGTGACATTAGAGAAAAGAATGTCAAAGGCTTAGTAGTTGATTGATATTACCAGATGAGGTTCAAGCTTCTTGACTATCTTAGTATCTCCCTTTTCCAAAGGGAAACCTCAGCAGTGAACATGCTTTTGGGGCAAACTAGACCCAATTTAACAAAGCTGATCACAACAACGTTTCAAAGCAAATGAACCATTCGCACAATAAAATTCAAAATAAAGGCTCGTACTCGTTTTCTTTTTGGAATCATTGGGTGTGGTACTAGATGGAGCCGGAACAGCTTCAAATGCGGTAGTTTGAGAGGTGGCTGCCTGAATCACACCAAAACTTTGCTTCTTAAAGAAATATCTTCCTCTTGCCGCCAATGCAACATCAGCCCTGAATCCACTTGAGGCTGACTTCATTGAGGCATTTCTACAATCATGATGTAGGCAAGAACGGCTAAAGCGACTGGCGGGTTGAATCACTCCAATTGCTTGGCATGCTGCAGCTGCCATGTTTCACTTCTGAAAAAAAGTAGCAGAAACGAAAGAGTTCATTCAAGTTCCCAGTCAACAACAAATCGAGTAAAGATCATTCCAGAAGGTATGCATCTCATGAACTTCTTGGAGGAATGGGAAAGGGCGAAAACAAATTCTACTAAATTTCAAAGAATGGATTGCCCAAATTGAAGATTCCACAACCAGTTTTCATCATCCAATGGCCCAAATTTCCTCCCAAAAAACGCTTATACATACGCCCATAAACACATAACTCCCAATTTTAATTTGAATTTATAAAAAAAAAAACAAGTCTTTAAGAAAAATGGAAGTACTCCTAAATCCTAATTCCTAAACAGCATTTCAATCCCTAAAAAAGAAAAGGTGGGGGAAAAATGAAAAAAAAAAGCAGAATAAGAGAACTCACATGAAGCAAGGGGAGAAAGATGAAAGAGTGGAGAGGGAGAAGGGTTCGGAAGTATAAATGCTGTAAATGAGAAGGGTCAATGTGGAATGAAAAGGAAGGAGAGGATCGCGAAGAAACCGAGGCAGACAAAGAATGATACCCAGTTTATTCCCAGGGCGAAGAAGATGTAGATGCGCTGCTCATTTGCTTGCTAGATTCTCTCTCTCTCTCTCTCTTCTCTCTCCCAAAGATGAATATTACTGCGAATTTGATGCTGGACACGTTCTGTAAATGTTTGGAAAGAAATTCATAGTGGGAACTTTGACTACATACCTCTTTAGAAAAAACGTTAGAGATTACTATGAGAGCTGGTGATGCTCGAAGTAACGTTTTGAATAAAATTTTAACAATGTAAATTGCTTTGAAAATACTAATGCTAAACGTTGTTCGTAGATAATATTTTCAAAATGCTAATGTTAATCTCAAACGATATTCTCAAACTGGCGATGAGAGACAACAACGCAAAGTATGAGGTGTCTGCAACTATCACGAAACTCATTTTTATGTCAAGATTGAAATTATAACTCAACTTACCTTTTCTCAGCTAACAGTGCTAAGAGACTTTCGGAGATAGTGTGTCATTTTTTTTTTGAAAAGAACATATTAAGAAGTGCGGGTGGGCGTTGCATGTGTAGGTTTAACACTTGTGTTTAATTTTTGACAACTATACTGGAGGTAATTATGTTAAGGACATGACTTTTGCAAGGATCAAGTGTAAACTTCACTAATTGTTACTAAATTGTGTTTAGAACTCAATTTATCTCATCTAGGGTGGTCGTTTCATCGGTTTTGATGGCCCTCGTGGAAGAGACCCATCCTTTTGAAAATAACCCGATGCAAGTTATCAATTCTTAACAATTTTTTGTATGAGATTTATCAATACGATAACTTCTAGTGCGCATCAATTTTTTGTATTTATAGTCTTATCAATAACGGTGATGAAAAGATAACGGAGAAAATGAATTTGACGGAGAGATGAACCGAATGCCCCTCGAGTTGGGGCATAAAAAGAAATATGGAGTAATTTGAGTGTTTGAGAGGGGGGGCTTGAACGGTGGTAGTAGTTGTCCCATGATTTGACTCAACTAATCAAGGGCCTCCCTATAATCCAACTAACAAACTTTGATGAAGAATCACCTAACCCCGCGGCAAAATGCATCCCTTTCGGCTCTAGCCTAACTTTAATGTGAAAATTCTAAATTAGGGAAAAATTAGTTTAATTTTTTTTAATATTTAAGTTTTTTAGTGTACAATTATTATATACTCCCTCCGTCCCAGAGTATTTGTCCACTTTCATTTTTACACATCATCCAATGCACTTCTTTAATCCATTTTATCTTGTAATTTTTATATTAAAAATTATATAAATTATATATTAATAATCTATATGTTAAGACAAATCAAACAAGATCACACGTGACTATACTTAGACTTACACATTGAGAGAATTTGATGAGTCAAAGTGCTTAAATGAACACTTCCAAAAGTCAAAAGTAGACAAAGAGAGTGGGACGGAGGTAGTAAATGACAAACATTCATGCAATACACATTTTAACTGTAAATTATAAATAAAAATTGTTCTTATTTATACGACTTGTTTCTTTTGACAACAACTTTTGTTGTATAATATGATAACAAGGGGCATGGTATTCATTTCAAAATAATTATTGGTTCTTACTCTCCCCCCCCAAAACGTCAATTAGCAACAATTTGCTGTGGAGCCGTGAAGGATGAGGGGAGGGGAGTTTGGGGTAGGAACAAATCGAACAATCATCTTTTTGAACGGGATATCGTATGTATGTGCTATTTTCATATTATAACATTAATAATTTTGTCAAAAGAATTGGGTTGTTATTTATAATATAAATTTTATGCAATATTTTTCATTTTAAGATATAACTAAATAAATTAATTTATAATATTTATTTTATTTGAACTATATTTATTAATAGTTAAAGTGTGTAATACTTTGACCAAAAGGTCAATCTATGTTTTTTATTTTGGGTCAGATAGAGTTTTTACTCCACGCAATTTCTATTCGGCAAGCAATTCATTTCTCATTAGTAAGGGCATGTTCTTTAGAGCTTGAACTCTTTAACTTCTAGTTTCTTCCAGTTCCTTCTAGTTCTTTCCAGTTTCTTTCAGTTTTTTCCAGTTCCTTCCAGTTTCTTCCAATTTTTTCCAGCTTCTTTTCATTTCTTCCAACTATATTTATTTTCTTCAAATTCTTTCTACTTTCTGACAAATCACTCTAAAAAATATATTATTATTATTATTATTACAACTTTTTTTAATTACAACTTTTATGCTCATAACTATAGTTTATAATTCATTTTTTCATCTCACTATTTTTATGATTCACATTCATTATTATTATTATTTTTTCTTCAACCTTTTAATATGAATAATATCGTTTTTTGTATATTAATCTACATGAAAAATTAGGAAACTATTTAAAAAATTATGGATAAATAGTTATATAAAATATTTTTTAATCTAAATTTATATAAGGTAAACATCAATATTTTAATCTAAAATATAAAGTATGGAATGTAGTGGGGAGTACTACATTATGAAAACCAAGAGAAAACTACATTTTGAAAAAGAAAAAATGACCCAAGAAGTGTAATATTTATGCTAATTTTATATTCTAATTATTTTTTTAAACTAGCTTTTTATATATGAAAAATAATTCTCGTAATATTTTTTTATCTTAAAGACAATCATTAAGATAACGTGATAACACCACGACTACTACCACCACCACCACCACCACCACCAACAACAACAACAACAACAACAATAATAATAATAATTTATAACAACAAGAATCAGAATGAGAATAATATAAAACCACACATAAATTTTTTTTAATTTTTTTTTAGATTTTTCAATTTTTTCAATTTTTGTCAATTTCTTTTAATTTTTTTTTCAGTTTTTGCAATTTCTTCCAGTTCATTTCAGTTTCTTCCAGTTCCTTCTAGTTTTTTCCAGTTGTTTCAGTTCCTTTCAGTTTCTTCTAGTTTTTTCCAGTTTTTTCTAATATCCAGCTCTTTTTTCTAGTCATAAAGAACAGACACTGAAATTGAAAAAAATATATAATTATCCATCTCTCAAACTTGGACAACGCATAAAAAATTATTGGGAGAATTAGATTAAATTAGATTAGTCATTAATACATCTTCCTCGTTTATAATTGCCCCTAGACTAGGAATCTGCATTGTTTGGGCATTGTAATGATCGTACTCGTACTCTCCAACTCATCAATCGATAAATATCACTTTTCATCCCATACTATTTTTATTCCCTTTGATTACTCATTGATAGCATTCGTCAATTAAGTGATGTTAGACCCTTTGGGTTCTCATAGTCAAAAGTTCCAACACCTAGAATGCACAAAATACTATTCTTTGCATGTTAAGAGCATATTCTTTAAATATCACTTTTCATCCCATAATATTTTTATTGGCCAAATAGCTCCGGTACCCCCTGTGGTTTGAAAAATTGGCAGTAATACTCTCTCTGTTTTCAAAACTTATTTTCAAAGTCCCCGTGGTTTCAAAACGTTGCACCCACACCCCCCTGATCATTTTTTGGCCATTTTCTGGCAAATAGGGGGCATTGACGCATAATTTCTATACCATGGGGGGCATTCATGTTCATTTCTTATTTTTGTTTATTATTCTTCCCTTTTTTAAAAAATATTTTCGATCTATTTTTCCTTTTCCTATATTTTTTTAAAATATATTTTCAATTTTTATAATGTTTCAAAAATTTTCAAATTCTTTGTGTTTCAAAACGAAAATAAAATTAAAAAAATTAACATACATTACATCTATCTCAAATTAAACATTTTCACTTTTTGTTACTTAGAATAATTTTTTGAAAAGTTAAAAAAACAGAGAATAAAAGAATAAAAATATAGAAAAACGAAATGAAAAAAAATTAAAATACGCAAAAAAGGTCTTATACAAAAAAAATGCACACGCCTAAAAAAGTTCTTACAATTAAGATGTCCAAAAAGGATATATTCATTTTTATTTTTTATTAATTTGTTTCTTATTTTATTCCTCATTTTTTTGAAGTTCTAAAAAAAATTACTTTTTTTCTGAAAAAACAAAAGTTGTTAATTTAAGAAATACATATGCATTATATGTTAATTTTTTCAAACAAAAATACGGAGTAACTTTAAATTTTAAGAACAGTATAAAAATAATTTTTAAAAAACCCTTTATTAATAAATGAAACAAAAAATGGAAAAAACAAAAAAAAAGCGAGAAATAAAAATCAACACTGATAACCCCTATGGTTTAAAAAATATGCACCAATGCTCCCATTCTTCGTCGAAAAAATGGCCGGAAAATGATCAGAGGAGGCACAGGTGCAGCATTTTGAAACCACAGAGACTTTAGAAATAAGTTTTGAAAACAGATGGGGTATTGGTGTTTGTTTTGCTAACCACAAAGAGTATCAGCGCTATTTGACCTATTTTTATTCCCTTGATTACTCATTGATAACATTTGGCAATTAAGTGATGTTAGACCTTTTGGGTTCCATAGTCTTTTGTTCCAACACTACTATTTCTTGCATGTTAAGAGCATATTCTTAAAAACTGGAAAAAAAGTTGGATGTTTGAAGAAATTGGAAAAAAACTGGAAGAAAATAGAAGGAATTGGAAGGAACAAGAAGAAACGGGAAAAAACTTAAAGAAATTGGAAAAAAACTTCAAAAAATTGGAAAACCTAAAAAAACTTTTAAAAAAATTATTTTAAATTCTTGTTGTTATAAATTATTATTATTATCATCATCATCATCATCATCATCATTATCACGTTATCTTAATTAATACCTTTAAGATACAAAAAAAAAATATTGTTATTTTTCAAATACAAAAAACTGCTTTTGCAAAAAAAATAATTATAATATAAAGTTAGCATAAATATAAAAATATAAAATTTTAAAAAGTTTTTGTGGTTACGTTGCACCTCAATTTATTTATGCAGTATTCATTATAAATAATATATTTCTCATTATACTTTATATATTACAAGATTTTGTTTTAAATATCAGACATGTCACATGATGTAATCAAACCTATTTTTTCTTTCATGATTGACATTTTATTTTCATTGAAGTTCTAATTTTTGGAATAAATACATAGAACTTTTTTTTTACATTTTTATGTTTTACTCTTATTTTTGTTTTTTCCTAAACTATTTTGACTAACAATTTTTTTATAAAGATTAGAAAAATGAGCAAATTTTAAGTAATAAAGGGAAAGGTGAGAGATCTTATATAAAGTTATATTAATAAAACATTCTATGTCACTATTTTATCCATAATTTTTTAATATAGTTTAACATATTGATGATTTCTTGTTTTATCATGTAGATTAATATATACAAAATATTGTCTTATTCATATTAAAAAAATGAAGAAAAAAATAATGAGGGTGAATCATAAAAATAGTGAGATAAGCTATACTTATGAACATAGCAGTTGTAATAATAATGACGATGATAATAATAATAATAATAATAATAATAATAATAATAATAATAATAATAATAATAATAATAATAATAATAATAATCACATTAAAAATATATCGTTTTTAGAGTAATTAGTTTGGGAGTATAAAGAATTTGAAGAAAATGAGAATAGTTAGAAGAAACTGGAAGGAGCTGATAGAAACTAGAATAAACTGCAAGGAACTGGAAGGACTAGAAGAAACTGAAAGTTAAGAGTTCAAGCCCTAGAGAATAGGCTCTAAGTCATTAATACTAAAGAATACTTAAATGCTCACTAAATGTAAATAAATAATTTACTAACATCTGATAGTTGTATAATATCCTCTTGCATACTATCGTAAGACTGATTTTTTTATTATAAGATCAAAGAGTGTGATTTCTGCCTTTCCCTCTGCCACCTAAGTCCTCCCACCGTCACACCAGAGTCATATCACAATAGGGGATGTGATGCCGAACACGGGAGAGAAAACTATGAAGAAGGGTTACCAGAAAAAGAGAATGAACGTCCCACCGACGTCGCATGCAGCATGAAGACGACGTTCTCACACTGTAATATTGCCATATTTTTGTATCGCTTCTGTGCCGTAACTAAATTCTAAAATTAATTACATGATCATTTATATTAAATATAAATTATAATTAAGGAGTATATTAGGAGTATAATTGGATCAAATTTAGGAAAATTTCACCAAGAAATATCATTGTTGAATGATGAGGGCTTAATTAGGGATTGCCATATCCACCGGACACTTGGCTCATAACTCACGATTAAAGAATCAAATATCTTCCCCCAATTGGATAATACCGCCGTATCTGTCTTTCTCACCATCTCCCCCCCGTCTTCATATCCATCATTCGTAACTCATAAGCAAAATCAAAATCAACGGTCCAGATCTCACCGTCCCACGGCGGCTCCTCCTCCGTCCCCAACCCCTCTCCTCCCAAAACCCTCGCTCGACTCATCAACGATGCCGGAGAAGCGGCCCAGGACACAGATGAAGAGAACTGCCAGCATTACTGGCGGTCTGGATCTTGCTTCCGCCGCCGCCGCCGCCTCTAGATCCCTCCGTCGGAAAGTCGAAGATTTCGCCCAAACCGCTGCTAGTTTCTTGAATGCGTGTTCCCTCTGCAAACGGCGTCTCTTTCCCGGCCGTGACATCTACATGTACAGGTATGTACTAATTCCATCCCATTGGTCTAGTTTATTTTTTTGGACAAATTTTTTACTCGAATTAAGTGAAATCGGTATTTCTCTAAAAAATAATTCACTAGGAGAATTCTCAAAATTTTAATTATATTTATATGCAATACAAATAGAGAATAATTGATTTAAAATTTGTACGAGTAAGTATGACTCCGTTGTGTTTAAAAGTAAATGTAGGGTAAATTCTAAAAACTAACCATTCATTACATTGGATTTTTCGCATAACGTAGTAAGTTGCTGAAAACTAGGTTGAGGTGGTTTTGATATACGAGACGACGGAGTGATGAGGTCTGAGTGCGGAGGTGTGAGGGGCTTGCGGTGATGGGTGGAGGGTAGGGGAAGAGGGAGACCTAGGAAGAATTGGAAGGAAGTAATTAAACAGGATTTTAAAATATTTGAATTTGACCTTTATCGAGGAATTTTGAATTTGACCTGACCTTTATCGAGGACATGACTTAGGAACTTTTGGGGTACTAGGATTAAGGTAGTTGGCTAGACATTTCTCACTCTTTGTTGCGTGCCTTGGTGTTTTCTACCTGTTATGCCTTTCTCTAATATTTTTTGCCATGGCTTTTTGTGGTTTGTGCTTCCCATCCTTTATGCGTCTTTTATGAGTTGGTACTATCTGTGTTACTTGAGTTGCTTGTCTTTTGGAAAAAGTCTTTCTACTTTCAGGTAGGGGTATGGTCTGTGTACACACATCCTCTCCAGACCCTAAGCCCGTAGGGTTCAATTGAGTTGTTGTTTGTTCATGGTTTTCTATATTTGAGAATAATTTCATATTAATCATTATTGAAAAATTTCCAATTTTTTATATAGTCTACAAAGAAAAATTTCAAATATAAAAGAACACGAACATAATATTTTGATGGGAAAAAGACTAAAATAAGAGTAAAACATTAAAAATATACTAAAATAAAAGTTCCATGTTTTTATTTCCGAAATAAGATTTAATATGCATATACAGTGCCCATGACCATATACATTACCAAAAAGTAGCGTGAAATGTTCATATACAGTGTCACATTGTGCAAACTCTTATTTTGGAAAGAAAAACATGGAACTCTAATTATGTTACTTTTTCTATGTTTTATTTTTTAGGGTGATTTCTTTATTTTAAAATATATGACTATATCAAAGTATTTCACGTTTTGAACTTGGATAGTTGGATGCCGGGGTAATTTCATTTAAAATTTGAAATATGGGCATAAAAAACTAAAGTCATGAGAACAGAAATTAATATTTTTTAACACTGAAATATAAGGTTGAAAAAAATATGCTCCAATACTTGCTATTGTTCCACCACTCACATAGTACTAACGTATAACTTTCTTTGCTTATTTATGCTTATAATTTTGATGAAATAAAATAGTTATGTTATTCCTTACTTTGTAAATTTGTTATATATTTTAAAATATTTAAATTTAATTTTTCAATGCTATACAAATATTCAAATAAATTGGATTGAATATGAATTCGGATCGAGAGTATTTAATACTTTGGCCTTGACTGGTGCATTTTCAAATAATTTTCCTTCTTTTTGGTGCATTTTCATATTTTATTTTCCAATTTTTTTTCTTTCCAATTTTCTTTTCTTTTTCCTCTTAAACCAAACAAGAAAAGTTGTTTTCTCTCTCATTTTATTTTCTTTCCCTTTCAAAATCCTTGAACCAAGCACAGTGTTAAGAAAAAACCAAAGAAACTAGAGTGCTTGATCTTGTTGGGTTAGTAGGAAAATTGGTGAGGGTGTGGGGTCGGGGGGTGGAGTTTGCTGTTTTTCCCTAATTTCTATTTCAAAAAATAGAAAAACAATCATATTTACAATTTAGCATTATATTTTCTTCATCAATTCTTTTCTTCCCATTTCAAGCTATAACCAAACATCAAAATTGCCTTTCTTTTTCTTTATCTTTTGAATTCCTTGAACCAAACATCATGTTAAAAACTCCAAATTTAAGATTTCATACATATAAAATAAATCCATATAAAATAAATCCAAGAGAAGCAATATCCATTTCTTATAGGAGTTGGGTAATTTTCCATTCTTGTTATGTTTTTTTGTTGGGTTATGTTTGTTATCCCTATGTTTCTACTTACTCGCATGTTTAACTTTGACTAAAACAAACTGTGTAAAGAGATAGATGCATTTGGAATCATAAATTAATCAATAAAAAAAATATTACTCTGTGTGAAGTATAATCTCTTGGACAAATGAGAAATTAAAGTTCTTACCGCTTTTAACTTTAACGTTTTCAAAGTTAACTACGCTATTAATAAAATATTCAAAACGCTAAACACAAAGTCTAAATTCGATCAACTCCACATTAAGACTTTGTTTGGACATGAAGTTTAAGATAGTGTTAATGTTTTGAATATTTTTTTTAAACGTTTAGATTCACTTGAAGAATCCTAAAAGCTAGAAGCACAACACATTCAAAATGCAAAAACTAAACACAAATGTGAATGCCAGAGAGCTTTTTTTGAAAGCTAAGAGAGCTTAAGTTTACTTGATGTTTGTTCTTTACTCAATTCATATATACACTGATTTGTGTAAGTCCTTGTTTGGCATCAATTTTAGCGTTTAGCTATAGTGTTTTCAAAAAGTTATCGACTGGCAACGTTTAGTTTTAACATTTTTCAAAATTAATCTTCCCCATTTAAAAATTTTTTCCAAAACGCCAAACTCTTCCAAAACAATGTTGACAATGTCTATGGTTTGTTGTTAATTGTTATTGTTCAGAGGAGACAGCGCATACTGCAGCGAAGAATGCAGAGAACAACAAATAAGACAAGATGAGAGAATAGAAAAGTGTTTATTAATTGCACCAAAGAGTAAGGCAGCCGCCACAACGGCCACCACGCCAGCCACCGGATCGGAGGCGGTTGCAACCACCAGCGAAACCATCGCCGCCCTGTAAATTAGATAATTTTAGCAGCTTTCTTGTTAGAAACCACTCCCCCCCTGTCTCTTAGTTAAGTTTCCACTTGCTTTTTCACGAAGTTTTAGGATAATGAAATTGTATGATGGAAGTTTATGTAAGAGATGGAGACACTTCTTTCCCTTATTCGAATAAGAACTTCTTTATGGGATAACTTACGAAAGAAAACAATAAATTCTTTTTGAGACAGAAGAAATACTAGTCTCGTGTATGTGGTTTTGATATTTTTATGAAGTATTGCTACTTCGTATTTGCTAGCCACCCGAATTCTACACTAAGGTCATGTTTTTTTCAATTTATTTTTTTACTTATTACTTATTCTTATTGAAATCAGACTAGATAAGATCAGAAATATCTTTAAATATATTTAGATTCAAATCTGATCAGACCAAATTTCAATCAGATCATAACTAATTAGATCAGATGAATAGAACATGGTCTAAGAGCAGTCATTTTAGATTTAAAAATATTTTTTTCAGATTTCAAAATTCATGTCATGCCGAACGTTCCCCGCTGGGGCCGATAAGATGATGAAGCTTTTTTAGATTTATTTTTTTCTTCCCCACCTACTTTTGCACTTTTTATTTTTTTTGGTTTTGTAATACTCCATTTAATTATGAGCTGGTAAAGGTGGTTGATTTTGGTCTTTCCTATGACTTCTTTTTTTTTTGTATTTTAAAGTAAGAGAATTAGAAGATGAACACTAAGATCAATTGCAGCTAATGACCTACTGGACATCTTGCCATTTTTGGAGGTTCCCCACATTTTGATAACTTGCCCCCCCCCCATCACAAATTTAATTTAATTTATTTTAAAATCAATAAAATCAAATCACAATCACTTTTACTATTTTTAGTTTGTGGCACATATTAGTTGGTATAACTAACAGGTCATAACTGAGAGAAAATGAGAGTATTAAGTTATTTTTAGGAAAAACTATGAAATGAAAAAACTTACTCCATATTTATTTAAACTCTTTCTAATTATTTTAGCTTTTATTATTTTTAACTCTTTCATGTTTTTTTCCCTAACTTTTTCCAACATTCAGTCTTAATTCAGTAAAAAAATGAATTAACATGGATAAAAATACATTTATTTATATTCTCCTAATGATAAGATTTTTGATGTACCAAAAAAGTATATGCTCGTATGGTTGCATTTAAAAATCGATATTTTCTCAATTCAGTTTATTTTAAAAATCAGTGTAACAATAAAAAAATTTATAGAGTATTCAAGAAAACAAATTGAAATTTCTACAAAATTATTTTTGAGGACCAAACAATTAGTTAACCAAAAGAAAGTGATTGCCCAAAAATTAATGCAAGCAAGTTGATTCGGTCAAGCCTTTGTATAAAAAAACAATTTAAATAATAATAAAAATCAGTAATTAATTACTTCCGAAATTACATTCATTTGCCCAAACAACTCAAAAAGGACATTTCACGTGAGTTTATATTCCAACCCTAATTTTCTCCGCTGCCCAAAACGTTTTGGCCATATTGGCTACTCTCTCACTCAGCCTCGTAAATCAGCGATAAAGAAAAAACAAAAATTGAAAAAAAAAAAGAGGCGAGAAGACGGTAGATCTCCCGCGCGCGCTTGAAATCCACCGCCGCGTCCACCGGTGATCGCCGGTAAACTTTTGACCCGACCGCGATCCGATCCGACGGCCCAAATTAATGCTCGGGCGACCCCTTGCCTCTCCCCCGCTCTGTACGTATATATAATTCGATGCGTTTCCGGAGAATGCAGATAGATTTTACGGTGGGAAGGAATTAATCTCTAATTACCATATCGGGTAAATCAATCGAGGTAATTTCTCGTTCTTCTTCTTTTTTTTATTTCTTACTGCTCCCTGACAATCCATTTATTTAAGTGCACTTTTCATTTTACATGTTTACATGCAATGCCGATTACATTACTTTTTTACCGTGTCTGTCAATGTGGAGCCTATGATCTGGAAATTTTTAATTTTTTTTCGGAATTTAAGTTTTTATTTTAATTTTGATTTTGTATGATGTATACTCCATCCGTCCTAAAAAAATCTTTCTCCTTTCTTTTTTCATTCGTCCCAAAAAACACTTCTCATTTATATTAAAAAGTCACTTTTACCCCCTTACTTTTTCATACCCTACCTATAACATCATACCTTTTTACTAATAATCTATCCATCAAATCATACTTTTACTCATCACATCAAAGGACATTTTTGAAAATTCAATACCAAAATATACTCCCCTTAAATCCCTCTCTAAAACCAAAACTCTCATGTTTTTCGGGACGGAGAGAGTATTTTTTAATTAATTAATCGAGCTTACGTCTCTATTATCTTTTAATCTGTTTTAGTCGTGCATCTCCAAGCTACGTCTCCATTTTAATATATCCTCTATTTGTTCTAATTAAAGAGTACCTCTGTCCTTTTGTGTCTTAATTTATTTGTTTAGTTTGATTTTTTTAGTTAAATTAAATGAGCTTTAAAGTTTCATTCCTCAAATTGCATTGCATTATAATATAATAAAATAAAATTTAGAAAGTTTTTAACGAGATAAATATGATAGAATCATTTTTATACTAATATACATTACAATTTTTGTTTAATTAAAACTTATGATTCATTTTATTTGTTTTGAGAAAAGTCAAATTTGACAAGTATAGTGAGATAACAGAGGAAAGTAATTGTTAATTAAGAATGAAACGAAGTGCTGTCTTAGGGGATGTCATTAATTATATTGTTGTCCCAAAATCACATTCTTATTGAGTTGTGATTTGTGAATTTTAAGACTGCAAAAAATGGTTTAACGTACTCAACAACTCAAATGAAGTCTACCCATATCTCACCAAATACTTTTAGTACTCCATAAATGACACATTTTTTTTACCTGCTTTGCAAAACACATGTTACAGGGTACTCCCCATTTGTTTTGAGGGAGACAAATGTATCTTGTTTAAGGTTATGGCAAAATTGACACAAATAATCCCACATTGTTAAACAAAAATAATCACATGATGCCGAATTAATTCTTAGTTATCATTTGGTTAATGAGTATAATTCTCACCTCTTAACAGCCATTAATTTCCTTTCATCAAGTTTGTTTTTGTGTTAAATGTGGGAGAAAAATATTTCTCACTTTAGAAACGAGTGACCGAGACAAAAGTTTTGTCTAAAAGACAAATAATCCCCCTAGTTTTCACATTTATAAAAGTTAATTAAGGCTATAAAGAGTAACAAACTCCGTGACAAAAGTTTTCACGACGGCATCAGTCAAAAAATATCCGTGATAAATGCGTGTTTATTTGTAGTGCCCAGTCTTTGTTTATCGCGTAATAAATTGAGATTATTGACATAAAAGATTTATGTATTTAATTGCTCTAGTTTTCTAATTTTTTTTTATTATTGTCAAAATAATTTTCTCTTTGTCACAGTGTATTTATCTTCTTTGATTTTTTTGAGTTGAACTAGATAAATTTTGAGTTTTAATTTAACAAAAAATATAATCTATGTTAGCAAAAAACAATGTATTAGATTTATCTTCTTAGAACTTTTAAAATTTTATTTGACTACACCAATATGTAATACAAATGAAGTGTAATCAAAGTTCTAGTTTTTGTCTACTTTGACTTAAAAAAGTCAAACTGGACTAAAATGTTGCCACAGAGGTAGTATGTGTCTGGTCAAATCACTTTGTTTACTCTTCCTTTGTTCTTTAAAGTTGTTCTTATTTTGACTTTTAAGAAAAAGAGTGATATTTTCGTGTTACTCTTGGTGTGATGGATAAAAAAAGGTTGATTTGTATAGATTATTAGTAAAACGGAAAAATGTGATAAATAAGGTAGCGACAAAAATAATTTTTTAATAGAAAGAGAGAAAGAACAATTGAAATTGAATTGTGAGTTGAAATTTTAAGGAATTGATTTGGATGGAATTGAATTCTTTCATTTCAATTAAGTTTTTGGCACTACCGATCTCAAATCTACATCTTTTTTGCTACCAAACAGCAAAATGGAAATTGTTTATCTCAATTTCAATTCAATAATTTAAAATCTTCCAATTCGATAGTTTAAAATCCGTGTACCGAACGGAGCCTAGGAGGACTCTTTTTGTGAGGGAGGTAGGACTACCTTATAGGGAGTATTTTATTTGTAAAATTTGTAACATGATTTGAAAGTATACAAATTTTATTTCTAATTTTCAAACAAAGCATAGAGCATAACGAAGATAAAAAAATAGAAGCTACTAGGTGCACCGTATAAGATTAATTACTAATTGCAGCATATAAATCGCCATTAGTCACAGCACAAATTTTCTAAATCATTAAACGAATCACATTACTATAATGCTTCCTATATCATTACACTATTAATTCTCCACTTCTCGTACTATTCCTAACATTATTATTATTGTTCAACTCGTTGAATAATTTTATTTTCCCCACCGGCGTGCGGCGGTTTGGGTGTGACAGGTGACCGGAAATGGCGGCGCCACCGTCAATCGGAGACATGAGCATTTCCTCTCATTGCAAGTATGTGCTGTGCGGCGGCGGCAGCAGCAAACAAGAAAACAATAATGTCTCTTCATCCTCTTCGTTGGCATCACCTAGAAACAACCTAACCACTACCAGTAATAATAACAATAATGGCAAGCTGAAGTCTTTGTCCATGACGGCGGCGCATTCAAAGCTCCGCCCGTCGTCCCCGGCGGCTTCCCACCTGCAAGGAGCGGATCAGTTCTCTCACGGCGGGTGTCTTCCCACCGCCGACGATGACGTGTCGTTCCCGCGAACCAGGTACGTACTCGTACCAAAGTCCGTACTTACACAGTTCTATATTAACTGCTATTAATTGATTCTTTTGTTGTTTGACTTCTTATATTACTCCAAAAATTTTCTTCTCATTCTCTTTATTTGTTCTTCCAAAATTTTTTCATTTTTGTTTTCGTTTTTGGCCATTTTTTACTGGGGAGGGAGTACTATTTATTTAAAATCCTTGACACATATTTTTGGATTACTAAAAAAATATTATCCTTATTTTAATTCTAACTCTGGGTACTTTGGTATTGAATACTATTCAACATTTTTTTAAAAAAAATTGTCAATTCAAAACGTAAGGGATTATGTTATTCTGGCATTCAAATTTAATTTAATTGAGGATTAAAATTCGTCCTTTGTCCTAAACTAAATTAATTTCTTTGATTTTTTATGAAAATAAGTGATTGTTCTAGTTGAATATTTTACCAAAAAGAAACAATAATATGAACCATTCGATATCCTTCAATTAAGAAGAATGTGAAATTTATTTTGGGACAAAAGAAATATGCTTTGGCAATAAGCTCTCAAATCAAAGGTTTCTTAGATACACCTTTGTCCCAAAATATATTTTACACCACATTCCTTTTTGAAATGTTTTAAAGTAACTTTTGTTCTCTTTACATTTCTGGACAACCAAATCCTTTCTTCATCATGTCCATGGACCGAATAGTTGGGTTGATCTGAGGAAGCCCAACATTCATAACTTAGCCCTGTTTGTCTTCTAACTTGGCCCAATATAAATGTTCCATATATTTTGGAATGCTCACACAACAAACATTTCAGAACCACAAATCTTACCAAACACCCATCCTCTCCAATTTAAGGTCATTGTCATCAACTAATATAAAAATTTTACTTTAAAGTCAAATAAACTTGCCTTGAGGGATGCAATTAAATGGATTGGATGGGTTTCTTCGGGTCATGGCGAGGGTTACCGGAGAGGTCAAACTGTTAATTTTATGAACTTGTGTCATTTCATGACATGAGATTTTAATGTCGTGCAACCATCCCTAATAATTATATTATATTTTCATAAAAAGTGTATACTTGAAATTTGTTGGAAAAGAGAGAATTAAATATGTTCAAATGTTTATCTTTTTTTATCGCATGTTTTTCTAAAAGAAAGTGAGAAATTTAAAGTAGATTTTTAAACATTCAAAGAAAAAGAAAATGTAAAGTTTCATTTAAAAAATGGGAATGACTATTTTATTTAATTTTTGGTGGAAAATAATCATCTTTTCCTCAGGGAATCAATCAAATTAAAAGTGAAAAAGCCTTTCCACCGTGTGATTGGATGGACATATTTAGTACGGAGTATTTACTATTGAGTCACATCAAACAAGAGTCTTCCAATTAATCTCAAGTCAACATACAAATTAAGATGTAGTTTGACTTTTTTTTACTCTCTACTATGCTTTTCCACTGTTAAAAGATAGTGAGAAATGACGGATAACAAATGAAAAATGTTTCACTGTTTTAATATTTTTTTCACTTTTTTATCGGATTATTACTTTTGTTAACTCAAAATTTATTCTTATTTTTTCTAATTTTTTACATTATTTGTCTTTGATTTAAAACTACATATTTTCCATTTTTTCCTGAGTACCAAAATAATGCCTAATTTTTCTAGCTTTCTCCGAAAAAGATTTTTTGGATTGGATTAAAATTTATTTTTTATCAACAAATTGTGCAAGCCGATACCACGTGGTACCTACCCTTTCATTGGCCGCCCTGAATATTTATGATTCCCACCAGTCACCGCCCTTCATTTCCCCAACCAAAACCTTAACTAATTTCTACTACCAGACATCACTGAGGATGAAACTGCCAAAGATTTGAGCTTTTTTTTCCTTTCATATTTCTGGTTTTATATTCTTCCTTCCTCCATTCTTGGATCGGATTTCGGAATGATTTTCAGTTGACCCATTTTATAAAGATTGAATCTTTTTGGTCTCTTGAAGGTGATTCACTGTTGCCCAATTCACTCTAATGTTTCTTTCCTATTCTTTCTCTTCCGTTTCAGTCCATTGATAATTGGTGTTTCTGAGTTTGGGTTTTCTTTCTTTGCTCGTTTTGATTTGACTTTTTTTAAGAAACTTTGCAAAAGTTGTGATGCTTCTTGAGTCTTGACCAAACAAGGAACTAATTTGCATTTATTAAATTGAGCCATTGAGAAATTTAGACTTCATTTTACTGCCTGTTTGGAAAGTCTTCAAGTAATTTTGTTGTGACAAAGTGTGGAAATCGAGTTTATGTGTTTGCAGGAGGTTGGTAGTTAGGCTGTCTGGTTATTAATTGACCTACTTTATTCCTAGTAATTATCATTAGTGCTTAGTTGAGCTGTTTTTTACTCTTTTGGAAGAGTATTATGACCAATAATCGTGTAAAATGTAGAATCTTGCAGAAATCTTGTGGTTCGTATTCCTGTTTGTTTTATCGTTTGCTGCATTTATTCTTATTTGAGGTTAATGATGTTTTTTTTCCCGGAGAGGGATTTCAGGCAGCTCAACATGTCAGAATCTCAGAGGAGGCCAACAATGATTGGTTTCATGACCAATAATGGGCATGCCAATGGAGCATTGCCATTGAGGTCTCCAGTCCTTAAAGATGAGGTAGATGAGTTCTGTCGTGCACTCGGAGGGAAGCGACCCATCCATAGTATATTAGTTGCAAACAATGGGATGGCGGCCGTCAAATTTATTCGTAGTGTTAGGACATGGGCTTATGAAACATTTGGTTCAGAGAAGGCTGTTTTGCTAGTGGCCATGGCTACACCAGAGGATATGAGAATAAATGCGGAGCATATTCGGATAGCCGATCAATTTGTAGAGGTTCCTGGGGGAACAAACAATAATAATTATGCTAATGTTCAGCTCATTGTTGAGGTTCGCTAATGCTTCTCTTTTCTTCATGACTTGTTATTACCATTTTTGTTAGTTCAACATTTAATGGGGGGCACCATAAGTTATTGCTAGCTTCCAGTTTTTCAGTTTTTTTTTGCTATTACGCTTTTAAAATTTTAAAATGTAGACTTTTATTTGTTGATCACTTTTAACTTTGGAAACTGGCTTTAAAAGAAAGTTTATGTTTAATTTCTGAATCTTATTTGTAGTCTAATTTTGAAGTTTATGGATGGTTTTTTAATGTTTTATCTCTTAAATGGTTTGTTTTCCTTGTTGTGCAGATGGCAGAGATAACACATGTTGATGCAGTTTGGCCTGGGTGGGGCCATGCATCCGAAAACCCCGAATTACCAGATGCCTTAGAGGCTAAGGGAATTGTTTTTCTCGGTCCACCTGGCATATCAATGGCTGCACTTGGAGATAAAATTGGTTCTTCATTGATTGCTCAAGCAGCGGACGTACCCACCCTTCCATGGAGTGGTTCCCATGTAAACTTTCTTTGCTGACAGTTCGTGATCTCTTGATTCTTGGATGAACCAATTAATTTCATTATGTAATTGAACTCAATGTTGCAGGTCAAAATTTCACCAGAAAGCTGTTTGGTCACCATACCTGATGAAATATATTCAAAGTCGTGTGTTTATACTACTGAAGAAGCAGTTGCAAGTTGTCAAGTTGTTGGTTATCCCGCGATGATCAAGGCATCTTGGGGTGGTGGTGGTAAAGGCATTAGAAAGGTTTGATTTTTAATAAAAAATGATTTTTACCACCCATTCCAGTAGATGATTTCACTTAACTTGCAGGTTCTTTACGAATAACAGATTTTTGATGTTCCTCAAAAATTACATAGGTTCATAATGATGATGAAGTTAGAGCCATGTTCAAGCAAGTCCAGGGTGAAGTTCCTGGTTCCCCAATATTCATAATGAAGGTTGCTTCCCAGGTCAGTACACCTCATTCCTTATACTCTGTTTCTTACAGAAGGGGTGATGTTAAATGAGTCAATTCTGAGCAACTGTCTTATCCTTTTAAATAAACAGAGTCGACATCTAGAAGTTCAGTTGCTTTGTGATCAGTATGGTAATGTTGCTGCTCTGCATAGCCGTGATTGTAGTGTCCAACGGCGACACCAAAAGGTTGGTTTCTCTTCGGTTCCCACTTAAGTCAGATATACTTATATAATCTGAGTTGCATCATAAAATCAAAAAAGTTGATTGACTTTAATATGTTTTTATTTTCCATGTAAAATAGATTATTGAGGAGGGACCGATAACTGTTGCACCTTTAGAGACAGTGAAAAAACTTGAGCAAGCCGCTAGGCGATTGGCAAAAAGTGTGAATTATGTTGGAGCTGCAACAGTTGAATATCTGTATAGCATGGAGACTGGGGAATATTATTTCTTGGAGCTCAACCCACGGTTACAAGTGTGTGAAATGCACCGTATTTTTGTTATCTCCATGTCAATCATTTACCTTATATGTATATATATTGATATATATATATATATATATATATATATATATATATATAATATAAATTCTTATAACTCTTATCATGGTGGTGATTTAGGTGGAACATCCTGTAACGGAATGGATTGCTGAAGTCAATCTTCCTGCTGCCCAAGTTTGTGTGGGAATGGGCATTCCTCTGTGGCAGATTCCAGGTTTCATGCAATTATGTGAAACTCATTTAGTGGAACATAGTTCAACGAATTTTCTTTATCACTGTGATTCTTTTTATGTAAAATTTTTTGTTTAATTATGTTAGAAATAAGACGATTCTATGGAAAGGAGAATGGTGGTGGATACGATGCATGGAGGAGAACATCATCTGTTGCCACTCCCTTTGATTTCGACAAGGCAGAGTCTGTTAGGCCAAAAGGTCATTGTATTGCTGTCCGTGTAACAAGTGAGGATCCTGATGACGGCTTTAAGCCCACCGGTGGCAAAGTGCAGGTTGAAATGATTTTGCTTTATTTTTTCATCACTTCGAATTTCTCTTTTAGTTTATTTCATCATAAACTACTTGGACGATTTCATACAGGAACTGAGCTTTAAAAGCAAACCCAATGTATGGGCATACTTTTCTGTTAAGGTAATTGCCTAATTGATACCGTTTATCGAGACATATTTATTTCTCAAATTTTATACTGATTAAACGCGTGTAAATGACTGCAGTCTGGTGGGGGCATTCATGAATTCTCAGATTCTCAGTTTGGTATGTCATTCTACTCTCTTTGAAGTCTAAATTCTTTCCCTTAACTTTTTTTTATAATTGTTTATCTTATTCCTGCTATATTTAAATCAGGACATGTTTTTGCATTTGGGGAGTCAAGAGCCTTGGCCATTGCCAACATGGTCCTTGGTCTCAAGGAAATTCAGATAAGAGGAGAGATCCACACAAACGTGGATTACACTATTGATCTCCTTCATGTAAGTGTCTCGGTTTATAGAATGGAAGACTCGAGAACAAATTTGTTCAGATTTTCCATTGACTTGTATTTTAAAAGATTTAATATTTTTTACATAAAAATTCTGCAGGCTGCTGATTATAGAGATAACAAAATACACACTGGCTGGTTGGACAGTAGAATTGCAATGAGGGTTAGAGCTGAGAGACCTCCTTGGTATCTTTCTGTGGTTGGCGGAGCTTTATACGTGAGAAACTTTGAGCTTTCATATATACATTTTACCGAATACTATTAGCATGTGATATATGATTCCAAAAATCATTGTTTCCCATTGGTTGCCAAGTGCAGAAAGCTTCTGCAAGCAGCGCTGCTACTGTATCAGAATATGTGGGTTATCTTGAGAAAGGACAAATTCCCCCTAAGGTACCATAGTCAAAGCACTCTAGCCCTAGAGCTCATTTGGCAAGGCCTAAAATGGTTGAAGCTGTAATCCCTGTTCAAGTTGTTGGTGAATTGGCTGAATCAGCTTATTTATATACCCTGTTTTGTTTGAAGGTTGAGGTGTCAATTGCTATTTTCATCCATTCCAACTATTTCAGCCAAAAATATGTCTAGTGTTTGGTTGAAATGTGGTTGATGAGACGAAGAAAATGCCAACCAAATGGGCTAATTGATATACTGAATTCTCTTTTCCACTTTTTATATTATTGACAAATAATCTCAATGCAGCATATCTCCCTCGTGAATTCTCAAGTTTCACTAAACATTGAAGGGATTAAGTATACGGTAAGCAGTGTCTTTTTATGTAATGTCTGATCTCTTCATTCTTATCAATGTGTTTTTTGTTTAATACCTTATCACTGTGTTCTTAGATTAACATGGTGAGGGGAGGACCTGGAAGCTATAGGTTAAGATTGAATGATTCCGAGATTGAAGCAGAGATACACACTCTACGTGACGGAGGCTTATTGATGCAGGCAAGCAATCTTTCTTCTACATCTTCCATCAGACTTTTTTTGTCATTTATAATCATTACATTTAGTACTCAACATGAAAATAATAGTTGCTTATGTTGAGTTTCCACAGTTGAATGGAAACAGCCACATTATTTACGCGGAGGAGGAGGCAGCTGGGACCCGTCTTCTCATTGATGGTCGGACTTGCTTGCTCCAGAATGATCATGATCCATCCAAGCTCATAGCAGAGACGCCATGCAAGCTTCTCAGATATTTAGCTGAAGATGGAAGTCATATTGATGCCGATACACCTTATGCAGAGGTTGAGGTTATGAAGATGTGCATGCCTCTGCTTTCCCCTGCTTCTGGTGTGATCCATTTCAGGATGTCAGAAGGCCATGCAATGCAGGTAGTAAAACCCTTCGCTGTGATGAATCTTTGTTATGTTCTTTCTTTCACTTGCTGCAATTTGAGACTAATTATGTTTTTTTGTTCATAAGGCTTCTGAGCTTATAGCGACACTCGATCTAGACGATCCTTCTGCTGTAAGAAAAGCAGAGCCATTCCAAGGGAGCTTCCCGGTTCTGGGACCCCCAACTGCAATATCTGGGAAAGTTCATCAGAGGTGTGCAGCAAGTATGAATGCAGCTAGGATGATTTTAGCTGGATATGAGCATGCCGTGGATGAAGTATGTTAAAGAATTGATAAAGATTCACAAAGTTTCTTTCTATAGACACGGTGATGAGATATTTTACCTAAAATGAATTTTAATGAAAAATACTTGGCATCCAGGTAGTGCAAAGCTTGCTAAGTTGTTTGGACAGTCCGGAACTTCCCTTCTTACAGTGGCAAGAGTGTTTGGCTGTTCTGGCAACACGACTTCCCAAGGAGCTCAGGTCCAAGGTATTAAATTCCCATATTGTTTTTTTTTGCATGTTTTCTTGAAACATTTTTCAGTTCTATGTTTGTTGATTTGATATGTGCATTTCTTTTTACAGCTCGAAGCAAAGTACAAGGAATACGAAGGAATTTCTAATTTTAAAAATGTTGACTTCCCAGCCAAAATATTACGGGGCATTCTTGAGGTAGATTTTGACCATGGATTTCAGTTTTCACAGTCTGTGTTCCATTGATGTTTGGTTTATGAATTCTCCAATCGCTTTGTGTTTCCTCAGGAACACCTTTGTTCTTGTGCGGAAAAAGAAAAAGGAGCTCAAGAAAGGCTCATCGAACCACTAATGAGTCTTGCAAAATCTTATGAAGGAGGGAGAGAGAGTCATGCCCGTGTTATTGTTCAGTCCCTTTTCCAAGAATACCTTTCTGTTGAAGAATTGTTTAGCGACAACATCCAGGCTGATGTTATTGAACACCTACGGCTTGAATATAAGAAGGATCTTCTCAAGGTTGTGGACATTGTACTTTCCCATCAGGTATACTTTGCTAGTTTTCTGCAGTTTATTAGTGCTTGTTCTCTTGTCTTTAGCTGGGTTTAGATGAAGTGTGCTAAGAATACCATTTATTTTGCAGGGTGTGAAGCGTAAAAATAAGCTGATACTAAGTCTCATGGAGCAACTTGTGTATCCAAGCCCAGCAGCATACCGTGACCAGCTGATTCGTTTCTCTTCACTCAATCATATCATGTATTCTGAGGTTAGAAGCCTTTTTCGACGTTCTACAAGTTATTTTTAAGAGAATGATGTTTTGGAATTGAACCAAGCTCATTTGACTGTGCTTTACAGTTGGCACTTAAAGCGAGTCAGCTTCTAGAACAAACAAAACTGAGCGAACTGCGTTCCAGCATTGCAAGAAGTCTTTCCGAGTTGGAAATGTTCACCGAAGAAGGCGAAACTATGGACACTCCTAAGAGGAAAAGTGCCATAAACGAAAGGATGGAAGCTTTAGTCAGTGCCCCTTTGGCAGTTGAAGATGCACTCGTAGGCCTATTTGATCACAGTGATCACACCCTTCAGAGAAGGGTTGTGGAGACTTACATCCGCAGACTCTATCAGGTACACTCCTAATCTTTGTTCTTTAGTGTCTAGACTGGTGACTTGAATTATTTTTAACAAGTTACCATTTTTATCAGCCGTACCTTGTGAAAGGGAGTGTTAGGATGCAGTGGGACAGATCTGGTGGACTGATAGCTTCTTGGGAGTTCTTGGAAGAGCATGTGGAGAGGAAAAGTGGATCTGAAGGTAGTAAAATGTCAAATAGACCTTTGGTGGAGAAGCATAGCGAGAGAAAATGGGGAGTCATGGTTATTATCAAATCTCTCCAGATCTTGCCGAAAGTTTTAACTGCTGCTCTGAAGGAAACAATGAACACCATGCAAACTACATCATCAAATGAATCGGCTGGTCATCATGGCAATATGATACACATTGCATTGGCGGGCGTCAACAACCAAATGAGTACACTTCAGGACAGGTATTTTGTGTCTTATGTGGCTTTGTACTTAAAAGGTACAAAGAAGTCCTATGTTGTCCATTTCTATTCTTTTTCTTTACCTATATTTTGTTGTTCCTATACACTGTAGTGGGGATGAGGATCAGGCTCAAGAAAGAGTTGACAAGTTAGCAAAGATATTGAAGGAGAGAGATATAAGCTCCAGCCTCAGGAATGCTGGGGTAGGGGTAATCAGCTGTATCATACAAAGAGACGAGGGGCGGGGCCCCATGAGGCATTCCTTCCATTGGTCCGAAGAGAAACAGTACTTCCAGGAGGAGCCTCTCTTGCGTCACCTTGAGCCTCCGCTCTCTATTTACCTTGAACTGGTTTGTAATTTACCCTTTCCTTTTTCTTCTTCATTTTCTTTTGGTCAGACTGGTTTTCACATTATTTACATTTCCTACACAGGATAAGCTCAAGGGATATGACAATATTAAGTATGCACAGTCTAGGGACCGTCAGTGGCACCTGTACACTGTTCTAGAAAAGCCCAAACCAATCCAGAGGATGTTTCTCAGGACACTCGTCAGGCAACCCATATCAGATGACTGTTTAACGGTGTTTCAAGGGCTAAGCCGTGAAAAGAATCAGCCCCCACTGTCATTGTCATTCACCTCAAAGAGCATTTTGAGGTCTATGACGTCTGCCCTTGAAGAGCTCGAGCTTAATGTCCATAATTCCACTGCTAAATCTGACCATGCAAATATGTACCTCTATATCTTACGCGAGCAACAAATCGAAGATCTTTTGCCATATAACAAGTATGATGAAATCTCACTTGTTAAACTTTCTTTCTGCATAAAGACTGTAATGTCCTTGATAATTATTTTGCTTTTTTGCAGGCGAGCTGATGGGTATGGTGGTAATGAAGAAGCTGTTGTAGGACAGATTTTAGATGAAATGGCAAATGAAATCAATGGGTCGGTTGGGGTGAGAATGCACCGTTTGGGTGTTTTTGAGTGGGAAGTGAAACTTTGGATATCATCTGCTGGAGAAGCCAATGGTGTTTGGAGGGTTGTGGTTGTCAATGTGACTGGTCACACCTGCATTGTCAATGTATGTCATTTATCATTATTATATGCTCTAATGCTCATGATGAAATTAAAACCAGATATGGATTCTGATTATAAATTTGTATTAATTAATTTCGCGTAGATATATCGTGAGGTTGAAGATACAAACAAACACAGAGTAGTGTATCATGCGACGAGGGGTGTTGGTCCTCTGCATGGCGTCCCTGTTACTGCATATTATCCGCCTCTTGGAATTCTTGATCAGAAACGTCTCCTTGCCCGTAAAAGCAGCACAACTTACTGCTATGATTTTCCCCTGGTAAATCTTAGCAAACAACCTTAAGATTTCTTTATCATGTGTCAAAATCATTGGGTAAATTCTGCATATATTTTTTCCCTGGGTTTTGGTCATAACAGTTACTGATATGAAAGTTTTATCCTTTCCAGGCTTTTGAAGTGGCACTGGAGAAGTCTTGGGCTGCAGCTGCTGCTCAAGGAGGAATAGACAAGACCAAAGAAAAGCCCTTAGTTAAAGTCACAGAGCTGGCTTTTGCAGACAAGAATGGTTCTTGGGGTACCCCTCTTGTTCCCGTGGAGCGCACCCCGGGCCTCAATGATGTCGGCATGGTGGCCTGGATTCTTGAAATGTCGACCCCGGAGTTCCCTTCCGGAAGGAAAATCGTCATTGTTGCAAATGATGTCACCTTCAAAAACGGATCTTTTGGTCCCAGAGAAGACGCGTTTTTCCAAGCCGCGACTGATCTGGCCTGCGACCGGAAACTGCCCCTCATTTATCTGGCAGCCAATTCTGGCGCAAGAATTGGTGCAGCAGAGGAAGTGAAATCTTGCTTTAGAGTCGGATGGTCTGACGAATCTACCCCTGAGCGCGGTGGCGTCCAATACCTGTATTTAACCCCCGAGGACCACGCTCGCATTGGCTCATCTGTCATTTCACATGAACTGAAGACATCAGATGGAGAGATCAGATATGTGATAGATACAATCATTGGGAAAGAGGACGGATTGGGGGTTGAGAATCTGAGTGGGAGTGGGGCCATTGCCAGTGCTTATTCCAGGGCGTACCATGAAACCTTTACGCTGACTTATGTCACCGGAAGAACGGTCGGAATCGGAGCCTACCTTGCCCGGCTTGGCATGCGGTGTATACAGAGGCTTGACCAACCCATCATTCTCACCGGTTTCTCTGCTCTGAACAAACTCCTCGGCCGGGAAGTTTACAGTTCCCACATGCAGCTCGGGGGACCAAAGATCATGGCGACCAATGGAGTCGTTCATCTGACGGTGTCCGATGATCTGGAAGGCGTGTCGGCGATCGTGAAGTGGTTGAGCTTTGTTCCGGCTTATTCCGGCGGACCACTACCTGTTTCCGTCACCGTTGATCCGCCGGAGAGGTCCGTTCGGTATTTCCCGGAGACGACGTGCGACCCGCGAGCCGCAATTTGTGGGGTCAACGATGCGGCAAGCGGGAGATGGCTGGGAGGGATGTTTGACAAAGATAGCTTCGTCGAGACGCTGGAGGGGTGGGCGAGAACCGTCGTTACAGGACGGGCGAAGCTGGGAGGGATTCCGGTGGGTATAGTCGCTGTCGAGACGCAGACGATGATGCAGGTGATTCCGGCTGACCCGGGTCAGCCGGATTCTCACGAACGCGTCGTCCCTCAGGCGGGTCAAGTCTGGTTCCCCGACTCGGCGACCAAAACCGCCCAAGCACTGATGGATTTCAACCGAGAAGAGCTGCCGCTTTTCATCCTCGCCAACTGGAGGGGCTTTTCCGGCGGACAGAGAGATCTCTTCGAGGGGATCCTTCAAGCCGGGTCCACCATCGTCGAGAATCTGAGGACATACAAGCAGCCAGTTTTTGTGTATATTCCGATGATGGGGGAGCTCCGAGGCGGCGCGTGGGTGGTCGTGGACAGTAAAATCAACTCCGATCGAATCGAAATGTACGCGGAAACCACCGCCAAGGGAAACGTTCTAGAGCCGCAGGGAATGATCGAGATCAAGTTCAGAACCAGAGATCTCCTGGAGTGCATGGGCAGACTGGACCAGAAACTCATAGATCTGAGAAGAAAGCACGTGGAAGCGACGGACGGCAACGATTCCGCCGCGGCGCAGGGGCTGCACCAGAAGATCAGATCCCGGGAGAAGCAGCTCCTGCCGATCTACATCCAGATCGCCACGAAATTCGCGGAGCTGCACGACACGTCGCTGAGAATGGCGGCGAAGGGGGTGATCAGGGAGGTAGTGGATTGGAAGAGCTCCCGTTTCTTCTTCTACAAGAGACTGCTCAGAAGAATCGAGGAAGAGTCGTTGGTCAAGGCCGTGAAGGACGCGGCCGGGGACCAGCTTTCCGACCAGTCCGCCATGGAAATGGTGAAGAAGTGGTTCTCGGAATCATCTTCCACCGCCGCGGCGCCGGTGTGGGAGGACGACGAAGCCTTCTATGTCTGGAAGCGGGACGCCGGAAACTACGAAGAGAAGTTGCAGGAACTCCGGGCCCAGAAAGTCATGGCCCACTTGTCCAAAATCGGCGATTCTGCGTTAGATGCACGCGCTTTACCTCAGGGTCTCGCTGCACTTCTACAGAAGGTAATCTTTCTTTCTTTCTTTCTTTCTTCTCCATCATCTTCTCTGTAATTCTTTGACATTAACACCAAATTCGAGATCTTTGAAGCTGACAGAATTGAAATTTGGATTTTGAACTGCAGATGGAGCCATCATCCAGAGAGGAATTGGTCATTGAACTACAAAAGGTCCTGAAATGAGCTTTTGAATATTACAATCAATATATACATAAAACTATATATATATATATAGCTTTTGAAGCTTTTGAGCTTTGGAAGGTGTTGAAAGACTCTATAATGAGTTCAAGGGATCATTTTCATATTTACTTGGGTGTATGTATAGAAGCTTTGTTTGAGATGAAAGCTTTGGGGACCTTTTCATTATGCATTGTCCCCAAACTCTTCATATGAAAAAAAAACATCATTGGATAATATCTCTTTTTATGGAATAATTTTTTGAGAAGTTATTTCTTCTAATTAGTTGAACACGCTCAAGTTTATGTAGTTGTCATTGATCTTGTTAGAGTACAAGATAATTCCATAAGGCTATATATTTTGGCTAAGTTTGATTCTTCACAACACATCAAATCTCTTCTATCTAGTTGTTTACAAGTCAATGAGTATTCTTGTATCTCTAGTAATATGATTGAAATTTTGGTTGGATTAGTTGCATGTAAACAAAGATAAAGTTCACGGGTAAAAGGCCTAAGTTATTTAATAACTTATCTAAAGTATGTTTATGAGTTGGCCGAGGATGGTAAAAGAAATTTCACTTGTTCAAAATTAAATTTATTGACATTCCTATTTAAAAACAATGAAAAGATTAATGTGAGACATGAATGTTAGCGTACCAGTACAGGTACTTTAACCAAGACTCCATCCAATTGCGAGTTTAGAGTAGCTATTTTTAATTCTATTTTTATTGAATAAGTTATCTTGAATATTTTGTCAAAGAAATGTATAGAATAAGAAGACAACTAAAAGCTTTTTAGTAATTTCCACTCATGCTAACAATAATTACATCATCTCTTTAAACACAACAAATGAAACTAATTCCACTATCAAAGACAATCAAACTAAATATTGAACTCTTTTGTTCAAATCTTCTTAATCTACACATTGTTAGAGATTTTCAAGTTTAAAAATTGATTTTTTTTCATAATGAAGAAATTTTTTTGAATTCTTACGATCTCATTTAATAGAGTAGATTTCATTTGTTCATCATTTTAAAATATATTTAACTCCATCTAAGTCGCAATATTTGTAAGACTCAATTTGACATTAGTTTTTATTTCTACCTTTAACACTTCAATGATGCTTTTTATTTAACATTGTCAATTTAAATATTACAACCTTTGTTCTAGACTATTTGTTGAATTTTAAATTTTTTTTAGTCTGAATTTATAAACTTTGAAAATTAATTAAATAAAATTTGTAGAGTACTAAATTTCCATTTCCGAAACAAAAATAAAAAATTGAGGTATCCCCAATTTAATACCGGGTCGACCCGAACATAGAGTCAATGAATACGATCTCTGCCTTTCCAGTTTGCATCATTAATATCTCTGCGTTCCTATCTCGTACGTAGACGATAAATAAATAAACGACCACAAAGAGAAAATCGCGCCATATGCAAACCCTAGACTTTTCGAATCCAATTTTTACAATTATATCTTTAGAATCGGTCCTCTAAATTTACATTTATCGTTTTAATCTCGCAATTTCGGTCTTCTTCTCCCTTTTCCAGAAAAGAAAACGAAAACAATTTTATTTAGTTTGCTGTTCGCCTTTTCCCCGCGTTTCAAAGAAGTTTTTATCTTCTTTTTTTTTGCAGGGAATGTTAACTGAATGGGAGTAATTTAGATTTCGTTAATTTGATTGCTTTTTTGTTCTAATAATTGTTGTGTGGTGTTTCGGAATTAGGGTTTTCCTCTTTTCTTGATCGGAGCTAGGGCTCGTTCATCTTATTTGAACGAAGAAGATTCTTCCTTGTCCAATTCTCTGGTAACTATCTCTAGTTTCTTTATGTTTCTGTTTGATGCCATATTGCCATGTACGGAGTACTTTCTAACTGTACTTAGCAGCTTGAAGTTAATTTTTTGCCATTCAATTTTCATCGTGTTTTCACTTTCACCATAAGTGAGAGAGCATAGGAATTCATGTATTGTTATCTAAATTTATATCCCTTTGCTTTTTGCATAATGTGATATACTCCGCGATTCAATGCTTGTAAGCCAAGATTGACCTTGGGACAGATAAATTTTCCATGACCCATTGGTCATTAGTAACCAAAAGGAAGAATGACCTAAGTAATGCAGAGTATTGAACTCATCAAAATAAAGTTTTGACCTTTTTGATATGTCTATTTAAAGTTTTCTGTTTTCTATGTAACTCAGTTGCAGCGGGGTGCATTTGTTTTATTGATATTGGAAACATGCCAAAAGAGTATCCTGTGCTTGATAACAGTCCCATTAACAAGTGGAAGGTAGCCAAGCTGAGGGAAGAGCTTAAGAAGCGGAACTTACCTGTTAAGGGATTGAAGGAAGCATTGGTGAATAGATTGGATGAAGCAATCCAGAAGGAAATGGAAGCGCGTGAGATGGAAGAGAAGGAGGGCTCCGAGAGTGCAAGTAAACCTATGTCTTCTGATGGTGTTCAAATAGTTGATGATGCACAGAAGCACATCACTAGTGAATTTTGTGAAGCAGAAGATACGGTGGCTAAAGATGACACCACACAGAAGCACATCACCGGTGAATCTTGTGAAGCAGAAGATACCGTGGCTAACGATGACACTAGTGATTGCCCCAAAGGAATAGACTCTGCAAAATGTATAGATGTTGCTCCAACTGGAAGTGCTGTTCATTTTGCAATGGATGGGGAAAGAAAAGATTTCGATGCCCCTTCAGAAATTATTCCATCAGTTGATGCAAACAATGGAATGTCCGATTCCGATAGGATTGCTTCAACTGAGAGGGCCCCAAAAGACACAGTTGGGGAGGATGAGGTCGTGAAGTCCCAACATGATGTGGAAGTAAAAATAATTTCTGCTGATGAGACAAGTGATTTCAAAGTTTTGGAGAATTGTAATGTGGTGCCTGACGCATCTGGGGAAATCACTTTGGGCAACAAAAGTGATCCAGAGGAGGGATTTAAAAAACTTACGAAGATGGATGCTGAACCCGATTTGTCCCACCCAAGCACCACGCAGGTACATGAGGTTATCCCTAGTTTAGGGTCTGAAGTAAAATCTGACTCAATTCATACTGATACTTTGCCCATTTGCGTAACAAACCAACTTAATGATGATTTGAATCCTGATAATGTCAAATTAGAACAAGAAATTGTTAGGTCAGAGATGGTTCTTCCATCATCCAGCAAAGACCTCCCAGGTGTTGGTGTTGATCATCCTATGGATGATAAAATGCCAAGCAAGAGTGATGGTCTTGTTGGAGGAACTGACGACGACAAGTCCTCATATGTGAACTATAGCATGACAAATGAAAATGCGGACCAGTCTTTAGTAGTAGATGTTCCCATTATAGAACATAATAAGAGTTCAAATAGTAATGAGCTGCTGGAAGGGCTTCCAAAAGATGGAAATGTGAATGGAGCTGACTTTTCATGTAAAGAGAAAGAATCACCTGAAGAAAAAGTTGATGTGGGTGTATCTGCCAAGGAAACTGATTTTAAAGGTATGATTGCTATTTCCCTGTTTTTGTTGAGTATACTAGATTTGTTTTTTATTGTTTGACCGTAGTATATAAGTGTCATGTTGTGACTTGTGAGGCAAACCCCACTTCTTGTAGATTCTATTGTGGCAAGTTAGGTCCAATTTAACTTGTTCCTAGAGCTCAGTTTTATAGTAGTTTATGGGGTAAGCCATTGTCTATGGTTGGTGCAGCCCATCTGGGATAGGTTTTGTCTCATTTGCTCATCCTTCAGTTGTAGAGTCCAGATAGGGATGATGGGTTTTTTTGAGTTTCCCATATTAGTTGTCTCCTGGGTGTGAGTCTTGTACACGTAGGACTCTTTTGGGATGAGTTGGCCTTAATCCAACCATACTAATGTTGGCTACTCTAGTTGCTTCTCCGACCCTCACCTTTGCTATTCTAATGGTTTCTCCAATCCATTGCAGGTGTTTCCATCACAGAATGTAACATGGATGAGAAGGATCCAAATAGTAATGAGGTATTAGAAGGTCTTCCAAAAGATGGAAATCTAAATAAAGATACATTTTCATTCAATGAGAAAGATTTATCTGAAGAAGGAAAATTTGATGCCGGTGCTTATGCCAATGAAGCCAGATCTCAAGGTACGATTGGTATCCAAAGGATACATCATTCCTTCAATGCACTCTTGTTTTCTATCCTCATGTTTTCTCAAATGCTTGGCAGATGTTTCTGCTTTAGAGCGTGACATGGATCATAACACTTCAAATAGCACTGAGAGGCTGGGAGGGTTATCAGAGGATGCAAATTCAAATGAAGATAAGTTTCCATGCAAAGACAAGGAATCATTGGAAGAAGAAACCAACATTGACTCCTCCACCAAGGAAGCCAGTTTTCATGGTATAATGATTGTCCTCATGTTTTCTCCTTTATTCTCTTATTGTGTTTGATATTTTAAATTCCTCCTAATGTATTATCCAATCCTTTGTAGATGTTTCCATGATAGAACATACCACCGATGATATGAGTATCAATAGTACTGAACTTATGGATGGTATGCAAAAAGATGAAAATTTATTTGTTGACAAGGTTCCATGTGAAGATCAGGATTCATCTGCCGAGGAAAAAGCTGATATTGATTCTTCTAACATGGATACCAATTTTCAAGGTATGATATGTTATCCACAATCCTCATGTTTTCTTCAATCTTTGTAGATTTTTATAGAGCATAACACGAATCACAACAACTCAAACATTATTGAGATGTTGGAAGAGGGTTCAAAATTTGAAAGTTTGAACGAAGCTAAGTTTTCAGGTTAAGAAAAGGAATCATCTGAAGATTAAAGTTTTGATGTTCAAAGTATGAATATCTGAATGAAACTAAGTTTTCAGGTAAAGAGGACTCGTCTGAAGAAGAAAAAATTGATGTTGATGTTTCTGCACAGGAAACCAATTTCCAAGGTATGGCAGTTTACTATTGTCATTTTTATTTGTTATTGTACATACTAATTCCCATTCATCATTGGTTCTAATGTCGATGTGCATAATGCTTTGGCTGAAGCTGAAGGTGAATCTACAGATTCTGGTTTTGGCAAGGCTACTGATGTAGCAGGAGAGAATCTTGAGAAAATAAATCTCGACCAGTCATCTGCAGATGATTCCATGGACGAGGACATAGCAGATTCAAAGAATGTTGATTCTGAGGCTTCTGAGCACATCTCCTTTGAAGTGCTGGGTAAAAACAAAGAAGAACCACTTACCAAGGAACCCAGAGTTGAATTGGAAGGTGGTTCTAAAGCTACAGAGTTGTCTGACATCCATTCTGCTGCATGTGAAGTTTACCTTGAAGATGGGGATAAAAATCTCAATCTACCTGATAAGAGAAAATTTCAAGGTGTGTATGCTTTTCCTACCTTCAAGTTTTCATGCCTGATCAACATTTTCTGCGACACTTTCCAAAAAAAATGAAAGTTCATCCCTCTGTTCTTGACTAACTGCCCATTAAGGAAAAAACACGGAATTAAGGTAAAAATTAATTTTTGATATAAATTTGACAAACATGTCTCTTGATTTTCAGGTATTATACATAACTATTAATTGAAATGAATATGTGAGGGAGGGTAGCTTGGTCATTTTACTATGTTTTTCTTTATTTTCATTGGACTGAGTCAATATTGACAATGTTTAAGCTTTGAATAATTAGTACGCCAAACCAAGGGTTTATGGAAATAAATAGCCAATTACTCATGAACCAACTCTTTTTACCATCATCTTCGATGGAGCAAAAAATGCACTATTTTTTGGCTTTGGGGTGTGATGGAATAAAGCAAAATGGATCTCTAAATGTCGCTTCTTTAATTAATGAAGTAGCAGTTAGTCAATCAATGCAACTTTACGACGTTGAGCCGAGGGTCTCTTTGGAAACAACCTCTCTACTTCCGAGTAAGGGTAAGGTCTGCGTACACACACCCTCCCGAGACCCTACTTTTGTGGGATACGACTGGGTTGTTGTTGTACTCATGAACCAACTCAGTGAACTTTTCATGTGGTAAATGGTAATAAAACAATCTTCCATATTGTTTTACTTACACCTTCTCCTTTTTAATATCAGAGTTTGACTTTATACGGTTTTTAATATAGTAACGGTGTGGTTAATATTGGTTTAGAAGAGAATCAATATCAACCAAAGAATCCTTTCTTAAAAAGGAAGAAGACAAGGGATTGAAAATTTTGGGACAGTTGAAAAGGAAAAGAATGAAGGTAAAAGTGGGTTAGATGGATAACTAATGCAACCGTCCAATGCAGTGTCTCATGTAGTTTATAGAAATGTCATGTGGTAATATGTAAAAAAACGTTCTTTTCTAAAAATACCGTTCTTAAAACAGTATCAAAAATGAAAGTTATTGAATGCTGCCTTTTGGGTACTGTGTCATAAATTTGGGCAAAATTATGCAGAATATTATGTACTCCCTTATCCCACAAAAGAATCTTGTTTAACATTGTTCTGTCTCAAAAAGAAGTTGGTTGGATCAACCAAAGCTAATTTTTCATGTAACATACCAACATATGATAACTTTTGCTAAACCAAAAATAATTTTTTGGTAGTTATTAATTTATTGCAGTAATACTTTATGAAAAAGAAAAAGGTGCATTGATCAAGCGTGACTCTAGACATAGGTCGTAGATTCACATAGTATCATCTTATGTCAAGGCAATCAAACATCAATAATGTGCATGTTATGGTGTTATTGTTTCATTTGTCAGATGCAGTGGCACCAGAGAACAAGGAACCTGCCAAAAGGCAGCGTAAATGGAACTATGAATCTTTAAAGACATCTGAACCAAAAACCTCTAGTGTCTTGCTCCTAACACCAAAGCAAATCTCAGTGCCAAATTTCACAGGCAATGACTCTATGATCGACACAGATGCTCCAAAGGAGCGCATTGGTGTGTGTGTGTGTGTGTTATTTTCTATGTCATGAGTTTCAATTTTCACGGTGGGGTTATACTTGCACCCATTTTGGGTGTGATAATAATAGCACACCAGTCCAATTGAGGGCATTACGGTGTCTCGTTCAAAAAATAGATTGTTCCTACACCTAAGTGAACCCCCTCCCCCAAACCTTGGCCCGAACCAAACCCACATCTCGCCCCCATCAACTAAACCCCCAAAAGCTGAGGTCAAATTTTTTGACCTTAAAATCTACTAATTTTGGTGGTTCAATTGGCTGGGATGGTTTTGGGTCGGGTCGAGGTATGGGTTTCTTCGGGGGTTAGGGGGGTATGAACCATCAAATTTTCTAACAAGCAACCATATGGCTCTCAGTTGGACTGGTGTCATAATATGACACCCAAAAATGAGTGTCACTATAACCTTGCCAATTTTTAAAATGTATTCTCTTAATAAATAAATTATTTGCTCTTCGGTTGTGTAAACCAGTTCCAGAATCGTCAAGAACACCTACCGATTCTCTCAGAATTGATAACTTTGTGAGGCCATTCACACTGAAAGCTGTACAAGAGCTCCTTGGAAAAACTGGGAAGGTTTGCAGTTTCTGGATGGACCATATCAAGACCCATTGCTATGTCACGGTAAATTTAATTTTCATTCGGAGTTATATTTTTCTGTTCAATCATATGAGCATTGAGTTGTGAGGAATGGATGTTTTGGTACAGTTTTCATCTGTGGAGGAAGCCATAGAGACTCGAAAGGCAGTGTACAATCTGCAGTGGCCCACAAACGGAGGCCGCTGCCTGCTTGCCGATTTTGTGACCCCACAGGACGTGAAGTCAAAAATAGAGGCGGCGGGCCCTTCCAAGCCAGCTGCTCCTCCAGCAACCGGCGCCAGTGCGGGGCCCACCCCTGCCCCTCGGGCGGTCAATACTTCTTCCCAGCCGCCAGCCGGGCAGCAGAAAGGCGTTGCTCCCTGGGAACAAGGGGAGCGGCCCCACCCCCTGTCCCGGCAACTGCCTGCTTATGACCGCCGACCTGCTACAGTGAAAGAGCAGGTGCCAGCTGTCGCTGACAAAGCGGAACCGCCCTTGCCCACACTCGACGAGCTGTTTAGGAAGACGAAGGCCACCCCTCGGATATACTATTTGCCGCTGACGGATGAGCAAGTCTCGGCAAAGCTCAACAAACAACTCAAGAAGTAGCTTTTGGTTTTTTGGGGCATGTTGGATACAATAAGTTCCCCTTTTAGAAGGCTTAGTTAAAGTATGTCCCTAATTAGACTTTCTTGTTTGAGCTTATTGACTTACTATTATCATTATAGATATAGTCTATAGACTAGTAATAACACCCATAGTTTGGTAGCATTTTTGGTTTTAGCTTTGCAATTCCTTTGAAGATTTTAGTTGGTTACAGAACAAATAATGTGCTCTTTTGTACTTGTACTTGAAATTGAACACTTTAGATGATGATATGTGTACTTGTACTTAATTTGTGGTGCTTGAGTTGAGGGTCTCTTTGAAAATAGTCTTTCTACTTTCGACTTAGAGTAAATTTGAATACACTGAGATTTTACTGGGTTGTTGTTTACCCTATTACCCTAACATGTAAAGGTTAGTTTGAAGTTTAAATGAAATTATTAGAGTTAAGTGCCTTGGACCAAAGGGTGTAGGAGTAGGGGGGTTATCATTACCTCCATCTCTTCTTGCTTGTAATCTAGTGTTGCGTAATTTTTTTCGGTTCGAACGTCTTTTTGGATGTATGTTATAATCAGTTTGGTTCGATTCGGATCAGTTTAATTTCAATTCGGATTTGATTTAGTGCTATATATTTTTCGGTTTCGAGTTGGTTTAGATACGGTTTGGATATAAATTAGTTCGGATAAATTCTAATTCTGATACAATTTGGATTAGATATATTTCTATTTCAGATCTAGCTCAGTTCGGATATATGGAGTATTTCGATTTTGGATATATTTCAGTTTAGATATACGTGATCGAATATATTTTGGATATATATTATATTCTAATTAAAATTTAATTATCCATGTTTCTTTTTTTATTTCATCTAATAGTCAATGAAATCAAAAAAATAAACAAAAATTTCTGTAGTTTTTGAATAGTAAAATATGTAAATTATTTAGAGACGGAGGGAGTATATATAACTTTTGTTCAAATTCTAAACATAATAAATTTAAGGCACAATATTTTGTAATTTTTTTAACATAGTAATCCATTTGATGAGGGAATGAGCAAGTAATATAAGTAGGTCATATGGTAAAATAATAGTAAAAATTTAAAAATATATTATGCTTATTGAAAGGCAAATACCATTTCAGATTTTACCGGTTTAGTTCTAATCGTTTTGGATTTAATCCATTTAAGGTATTATCGGTTTCGGATATCATCAATTTCAGGTTTAATCGGTTCAAATATGATCGGTTTCGGATCGAATTGGTTTCGGTTTTAAATCGGATATGATTTATTTAGTTCGGTTTTAGTTCAAATCATTTTGGATTTTCGGATATAGATTGGATTTCATTTTCGGATGATTTTAATTTCGGATAATTTTGTTCGGAAAATCGAATCTGGTTCTATTTTGGGGTTGTTTGGCAACTTCTGAATAGGGTAAGTGTTGAACCAGTAAGAGGTCTGAACCATTAAGTGCTGAACCAGAAAGAGGTCTGAACCATTAAAAGCTAGTATATTGCTTAACTATTCAGAGGCAAATGTCTGATAAATTCAAATGAAAGGTTTTAACTATTGAGACTCTATCACCCCGCATAAAAGGGATACTTTGCCCTCCGTATTTGTGGTAAATCGCCGCTTGAAGTGGAAGAACTAAACCGGAAAATTTTAAGGTAACGCGAATCAGGATATCAATCTGAAAGACCCGTCAGCGACGAGTTAAATCGGACCGAAGAGGAAGAGGAATTGATAGATAAGGACTCTAGCCGGAATTCTTGTCCGCGGCAGCGGCGGCGCCCCCTCTGCGGACAGCTTCAATTGCCGTCGGAGCTAGGGATTAGGCGTGGTTAAGAGAAAAGGCGCAAGCTTCTAAACGGTTGCCGGGATTCATTAGACATGAAGCGCAGTTACTCGGAATCGCCACCGTGTAGCTCTATTGGATCTCCTTCGTCCAGATTGAAATACAACCCACCAGGTATTTTCAAGTTCTTACTACGAAGGTTCAATCAACTTGTGAACTTGAAAAGTTCTACTTGCTTGACCTAAATTCTTTATGATGAATTGGAACAAATCTGGGATGGTTTTGTTTACAAATCTAAATTGGCAGCCTTTTTAGTATGGTTTTGATCTACAATTTTCATTCTTTGATGTTAAATCTTTGGACCTTTTTCTTATGATTTTGAAAAAAGTACCTGAGGGGATACTTGGTTATAAGCATCCTACTTTTTCTGCATTCAAGTTGGTATTGTTGAGCTTAGGAGTATCTTATTGATCAAGACTTCTCTGTTTTGGTATCCCCTACAATGGGCATTATGGTTTTTGCATAATGTTTGCCACATTAGTAACTTGGTACTAAGTTATTGGAGCTCTACGGCTCTTTTGTGTTTAGGCAACTCTCAGTTTTTGGAGGATGAGAGTACAAAAAACTTTGCGAGGAAAGTTGCTGATCATTATAGTGCAAGGAGCAACCAAACACTAGAAGAGCGAGAAGCAAGTCCCATTATCCATTTAAAGAAGCTTAACAACTGGGTAAGAATTTATATCACTTCCACATGGGTGGTGAGGTTAGTTTTGTCACATAGCAGATTTGATTCCTTAGATTTAATTCTTTTGAATATTTCATTTTGACCAGATCAAAAGCGTATTGATTCAACTTTACACCAAAAGAGGGGATGTAGTTCTTGATCTTGCTTGCGGAAAGGTATTATTGGGCACGGCATTTCAAAACATTTACAGTTTCTATATGGCATTGTGTGTACTTCATATATTACTCTGCCATTTGTTAACAGCCTTATTTTTCTTATTTAAATTTAACCAGGGTGGTGATCTAATTAAGTGGGACAAAGCAAGGATTTCATATTATGTTGGCATTGACATTGCTGAAGGCTCCGTAAGTGCGGGTTATGTATTTAATCGCATGTTCAAGTTGTGGTTCATGTCCATCCAAGTTTCCATGTCAATTGAAATATTGAACTAAGATTTTTCTGCTTTTTTCTTTACATGGTTCCACCCCTCTTACCCTTTGTTTGGATGAGAAAAGAAAATGATAAGAAAGAAAATCACGAGAAAAAAATTGTGAGAAGAGAAAATGGAAGGAAAATTATAGTTGTTTGGATGATTAGAAAATGATGAGAAAATAAGTAGGAAAGAAAAAAGTAGACTTATTCCTCAATAGGATTAGTTTTATCACCATTGTGAGAGAGAAATTGTTTGGCTACTCTTCACTACCTTTTCCCTCCCTCTCCATTTTCTATTTCAAACAAACATGAGAAAATAACTACGGAGTTGTGTTTTCTCACCCCTACTTTTCTTTCCTCTCTTTTTCAACCCATCCAAACCATGGCTTAATAATGCTTCAAATGGTTATTTGCAGATTGAGGATTGCCGTACACGATATAATGGTGATGCGGACCATCATCAACGGCGAAAGAAGTTCTCTTTTCCAGCTAGACTTATTTGTGGAGATTGTTTTGAGGTACATCATTAAAAATTCCACCTCATTTTAACTCCTTTTTGGAATTTCCACACATTCTTCCCATGTGTGTTTGATGGGAAATAACAAGAAAAAGAATAAACGATTTCCCTCATTTATCTTATTTTTGAGTTCCAGGTTCAGTTAGATAAAGTGTTAGCAGATGATATGCCTTTTGATCTTATTAGCTGCCAGGTTGGTTAATCCTACAAACTGATGCTACCAATTCAACTATTTCAAATCTTATAACTCACTAGGTCTCAAAACTTGTTGATTCTAGGTTAATTTTATGGGGATGAAATTTTTGTATGTTTTACGAAGATTTGTTTTTGTAGTTTGCCATGCATTACTCATGGTCAACTGAAGCACGTGCACGACGCGCCTTGGCCAATGTATCAGCTTTACTTAGACCTGGAGGCATCTTCATTGGAACAATGCCAGACGCTAATGTTATAATAAAAAAGCTTAGAGAAGGTCTTAAATTTTTACGGTCTGCCTTTTATATTTATGTTCTTACCTGAACTTTTTTTTACGGGCAACAGAACTATTATTTGACGGTTCAGTTTTTACTTTTCATGGATTGTGCAGCTAAAGGGCTAAGCTTTGGTAACAGTGTGTATTCAATAGAGTTCAATGAAGAATTCTCAGAAAAGGTGCTTTTTTAAGTAATTTCTCAAGTGGAATTTATATGAGCTTCATCGTCACATGTTCAATAACTAATCAGAGTTGCCATGCAGAAATTCGGATCTTCAAACCCTTTTGGCATCAAATACAAGTTCCATTTGCAGGTTTGTTGATATGGTTTTCATCTTCTATGGGCTCACATGTATATGCTCTCATTATTTTATTGTTCCAAACTTCATTTTTATGTTGCACATATCTTCTTGGTTTGCAACTACTATTCATATTGAGTTGAGCTTATTTTCTTTTGTCAATATATTACAAAAATATAATTATAATACGAAGAATAATACGGAGTAAAAGATTATTAGCTAACCCTTATCATAAAGGCACAAAAAGGTGGAAGCAAAATTTGTGTTTGTACCAAGTGAAAATAATTGATAGATCCCTATATGAATACTAAATATAATTTCTTCTCTCTATGATTGTATTTTTATTCTGCAGGATGCAGTTGACTGCCCCGAATGGATTGTCCCTTTCCATGTTTTCAAGGAAATGGCTGAAGAGGTTACTTGTTTATTCCTAGAGAATATTTGTTCTATTTTATTTTTTTTAAAAAAAATTATATATTTCATTATTTATAATCAAAGCTTTGCCTCATAACAATAATGTGGAAGTGCAGTATGATTTGGAGCTAGTATTTGCGAAGAATTCGCATGCATTTGTTGATGAATATATGAAAAGGATGGAGTTTGTCGACCTCATGCGCAGGCTTGGCGCATTGGGTGATGGAAACCAAGACCTAAGTATGCTCTATAAGAGAATTCCAATTCAAATGTTTTCCCATTAAACCTTTAAAAAAAAGGTTTTCACGCGTAATAATATCTTTACATTTCACCCTCCCCTTGACAAAGGTACCCTCTCGCCGGATGAATGGGATGCCGCCTACTTATATCTCTCATATGTCTTGAAGAAGGTATGTGTCGTCTTTAAAGCTCCGTCTGGTAGCTTGCTTATGCTTTTTTAACACTTGTTTCGCTTTTATAGATAGTAACCGAACATTTTTCCTTGAAAAAATGTATCTGAAAACACACTAAAAATATTTAGTACTTATTTTGCTCACAACTTTTTTATGCTTCTGGTACTTTCTAAACCGGGAGTGTGTGTGTTTTTGTTTATAGAAGGGACAACCGGACCCGAGGCCGGTGAACAGTAGTAGGCGGGGCAAGGGTAAGATGCAGTTGTCGAAGGCGGATATCATGTATATATAGACAAACACGCACAGACGGTGTAGGGGCGAAACATTTCCACACTGGCTTTACAAAAAATTTTGTACAAACTTTAATAATATTAATATTGGCACTAACAGAATTAAGTCCTAAAATGTTCTGTGTAACATTTACATAAGTTGACAATGCAGTTTTGTTTTACCTTCCATTTTTTGTTCTGAATTATAATATGATTTGTAATCCTTTTTTTTTTTTGCGATTTTGTCGAAATTATAGGAGTTGGATTCTACATTATTCTTGGTTTCTTGATCAGACTGAAGTCTATAATATGATGGTTTTTGCGTACAATACCTGGATGAAATAATATGAGTTCTAAAATTTAGAATATGCGGAGTACGATTTTTGTGAACACAAACTATAAGAATGTGAATTTTAATAACTATTCCTTCTTGCTTTTTAAAATTTATCCAGACATAACAGAAGAATAGAGTAAATTTTACTGTTTCTGTCATGAAGTATTCGTTCAGTTTTGGCTTTTCAGTCAATTGCTTTTAATCTTGACCTATAATTAAATAAGTTATATACTATATATTGATTAGATAAAATAATATTTTGAAAATATTTTATATAATAATTCTAATAAAATTATTTTGTACTCCGTATTAATATCTAATACTCCCTCCGTCCCCCTGTATTCGTTCACATTTGACTTTTGGAACTGTTTATTTAAGCACTTTGACTTATCAAATTCTCTCAATGTGTAAGCCTAAATATAGTCATGTGTGATCTTGTTTGATTTATCTTAACATATGGATTATGAATATATAATTTTTATAATTTTTTAATATACAAATTACAAGATAAAATGGATTAAAGAAGTGCATTGGATGATGTGTAAAAATGAAAGTGGACAAATACAGGGGAACGGAGGGAGTATGATATTTATTTAATTTGGACCAAAATTTACTGCTATTGATCGAAAAAAATTAAAAGCGGACAACGACTACAATTTACAGTGGTTTAGACTTTGGAACAAGGAAATTACATAGCCATTGGACCGTTTGAAATTTTGTTTATGGTCTTTTATGAAAAATATTTTCCAATCTCTTCCTAATTTGTTGCCTTAGATTAATAAAGCAGAAATGTAGCATAAAAGTTGGTGCAAAAAAAGACAACCATTATTAATCATATACTGCTTGGTACTTTTATATGATTATGGTAAATAAAAAGGCAAACTCCCATGATTGAGCAGAGATATTATTTTTTACTGAGTATGAGCATAATTTCAAATTTTATACTCCCTCCGTCCCAAATTATTTGTCACAATTGCTTTTTCAACAGTCGCGGGAACTTTTGTTTATTTCTACGTTTTCATTGGTTATTTGATAAAATAAAATATTCTCGACACCTCTTATTTTGAAAAACTTTTCATGTAGTTTTTTGATATGTAATTTTTATTTTTTATTTCTTTACCAATATGTAAATAAAATGAATTGAAAAAACTTAATATTTTACCTCGGTAATAGAAATGTGACAAATAATTTGGGAAGGAAGGAGTACAAGTATCACTTTGGTTATTTCAATATTAATATTAAGTTTTATGTTTTGCATCTTACATTGATTAGGCTTCTCTAGAATCTTAAGCTTGGGGGAAGGGATTAATTGAGTGATGAGCATGGAAAATTACCTTTTTAACCTTGTACTTCGTATTGATATTGATACTTCATCCGTTCCAAAATAGAATACCATTTTAATTAAAAATTGGTATAGAAATAAAAAGTATAAATTACAGTGTTTAAAATACTTAAAATATTTTTACAGAATAACAAGTGACAAGAATATTTTATTTTATCAAAAAATCAATAAAAACACACAAATAAAAGTTATCAAGAAATCATAATAGTGAAAGCGTCACGAAAGAAGTAACAGATAACAATATGTGTGATAAAGAAATTGCCATGAAAGAAACTAAAGAAATGGGAACTACATTTACGATATTTGAGAACTAGGCCTAAATATAAAACACTCCGTATCACCTATTAATTGAGATCATTTATAAAATTTATTTTAACTGAGAAATAATTTTTGGATGCTTTTTGAATTGTATGATATTTGAGATAATTGTCATCTAGATTTTGTATTTTTAGCTAAGATCTTGTATCTTAGAGCCTGTTTGGAAATAGCGTTAGCGATTAGCGTTTTGAAAAAGTTATCTGCGGACAGCATTTAGTGTTACTGTTTTCAAAGTAATTCGTACCGTTAAAATTTTATCATTAATGCTATTCGCAAACAGACCCTTAGTTTTAAAATGATTAGTTTTGAATGGATTGTTTTTTATGGTAAAACTAAAATAAAATAAAAGCATACATAATTACATATACCATATTTATAGAAAGGAAATGTCATTTTAACTCTAACATGTGAACTCCAAAGTTTAACTCCAACCTTAGAGATATTAAGGACATTTGATATTGTTTCGTGTATGTAACGTCAGTGTTAAAGTTTAAAATTGAGATCAAGAACACATGATTAGGTACATAAACTAATTAGGAATTTTTAATGTTATCACTAATCAACATCAAGATTCAAGACATGACCTAGGAGTCGTCACTTTCCTGTAATTCTTTCCTTAAAAAAAAAGAAACAAATTGAAGAGTAATTTTGTGTATCAAAGGGAAAAGTAAGAGTCCTATTTAGAAATTTTCCAAAATCAACTAGACGATGATGGGGGATACTGGGCAGAGCTTGTCCAGAATGGCGGTGGTGGGAAGCTATTGGAATTCGTTGCCGGGTTCTGCGTCGATGGTGGCCGGAAAGAACCTGATTCAGCTGATTGTTGGCCGCCGGCGAAGTACGCCGAGGATGAGGATGAAGTGGTCGCGGATGGAGCGTAGTACATTTGCTCTAGCATTCTCGGCGGCAGGTGGCCGCCGGAGGGGTTCCGAAGCAGCTGCGAGTAAGCCCAGTAGTCGCCGGTGATACCTTGGATGTGCGGCTGCGGCTGACCGCGGAGGGGAAAAGGAGGATTGGTGGCCGGTGATTGGGCGGCGGTGGAAATTGTGGGGGCCAGCTGCTGCTGAGGCGGTGGCGGCAATAACCGGGCGTTTTCCGGGAAGTTGAGCTTTGCCCTGTTTCCTCTGAACCTCAGGGCGGCTTCGTCGTATGCTCTGGCGGCGGCCTCCGCCGTCTCGAACGTCCCCAGCCAAACTCTTGCCGCTTTGTTTGGGTCCCTTATTTCCGCTGCCCATTTTCCCCATGGCCTCTGCCTCACACCCCTGTATCTTCGTCTTCTTTCCCCTGTTTCTTGATCGGCGGCCGAATTCAATCCCGCTTCAGCCGCAGCCCCGGCGGCGCCGGAAGCCGTATGCCGCGGTATCATAATGGCAGAAGTTTCTTCTGGGACAGGGAAGAACACTAATTTCAAAAGGAATTCGGATTTAAGAATATTTTTTATCCCAAAAAAAATAAAGGAAAAGATGAATTGAATCAAAGAAAAGAATCTTTACAAACCAGTTTTAATTTCCGCTGGCAATCTAAAATTTCCCATCTGAGCATGTTCTAGAAGCTGGGTCGCGCTTTCTTCGGGTTCACGTCTCCTCTTCTGGCCGACGGCGCCGGAGCTGGAGGACGGCGGCGAGTTGCTCGAATACAATCCCGAAAACCTCGCCCCGGAAGATGCGGCGGAGCGGGTGGCTTCCGGGCCATAGCCCCGATGATCTCCCGGCATCGGTCTGGACACCACCTGCTTGAGAGCGGTCACCACCGCAGACATCTCTTCCGGTTGCCCGTACCCGGAAAACAGAGGCGGCGGCGGCGCCGCCGATAAAAGACAGTCCGTCTCCTGCTCCATCTCCCGCCGAATCATTTCCTCAAAAGATCCCGCATACCCAGCGGTCCCAGAACCTTCTTCCTCCTCTTCCTCTTTCCCGCTTCTCTCCGCCGGAAAACTGGCATACCCGCCGGAATCTCTCTGATTCGCCAGACCTTCAAAATAAATACAAAATCGACCCCAGAAAATCACGGGATATGTCGAAAGATTCAATTTTTCTTCGCGTGCTGGCCTGAAATCACGGGATGGGTGTGAAACTTATAACCGAAAAAATCAAAAGATTTCGTCACCTTTAGAGATATATGATCAGTTCCGGTGGGGTTTCCGGCGTGACATGCAGAGGGGTATTTTGGGGGTTGCTCTGAATAATTCCAGAAAATGGGAGGGAAAGGGATTAAGAGTATATAAAAGGAAAGTCGGAAAGGTGAGGGGTAATTAGGGAGGTGGCTGCCGTCAATGAAACAGTGGTTGCTATAATTAGGAGCACGTCACCACCTCAAAAGACTCGAAACTAAACAGACAGACAGACAAGTTCTCCGTATTTAAGATAATGATATCCCCCGTACATGGTTTTCGAGAATCTTTGTTTGGCAGTAATTAGGTACTCCCAATTCATATTAAGAAATAATGATCCCGTTTGGCATCACCATCAGATGTTAATATTAGTGTTTTGAAAAAAATCACTTGATAGTGATCTTTAATGTACCTGTTAGCATGTTAATATTTTCAAAATTAATCTACACCTTTTTTATTTTATTCAAGAATAACTAATCAAAATCGTTGCTCCCAAGTAAGGTCAATGCCGCCTACAAACATTGTTCAAGTAGTAAATAGGTGTGTAAATTGACGTAATGGCTAGACTTGACTATTAGGGTACTAGTATGAGATGATTTATACTCTCCAAAAGTATCTTTTATTGAGATTGGAGATAAAACGTACTCATTAGTTATTGCTCACTAGAAATTAGAGCTTCATTAAATAAGAGCACAGTAACATCAAAATGGAAATGTCATTATATTTAGCTCTTACATAGAAATTTGATATTGTAAATAGTGATTGTGTCATGACAATATAGTAGTGTGAATTATGAAAGTCTAATGACATGGAGTGTGATGGGAGTGGGATGATGGACCACCAGTCAATGGTGGTCAACGTCGGCAACTAATAACCTCTGTTAGCTTATTCGTATACGGGTATAATACGTCTATTCGTACGTTTGTGTATAATACGGACCATTTTTTAAAAATACGTCTTATTATATGTTTTATACGTTCGGAGTACGTATACGGATACGTTCGCGTATTATACGTTTGATTTTTCAAAAACACAGCTTATAATGAATGCATATATTTTTAATAAGAAACACATTTTAAACTTTGAAATTGAATACAAATACATCATAAAGTTTTAAAAGTTTAACCAACACTACGATTTATTGTTTATTCATTTTTTCCTTGTATACCCAAAGAAGATCTTTCAATCTAATTTATTATTCTGTACTTCCACAAAATGTATTAAAAGTAAGAACACATTCTTAAAAATGAAGCCAACATTTAGATATGAATAAAGCATTTAAGACATGACAAAAATTATATTATTAGACAGTTTATGTTTAACAAAATTGATTAGATGTTTATCATGAATTTAAAAAGAAGATTTAAGTCTCTTTATAATTTAAATACAAACTTACTAAATAATATTTTACACAATTTAAAGTTGAGTAAAATTAAATTTAGTTTATATTTTTTATTTTTAGAATACAAAAATATTATTACGAACTTAGATTTTATGAATTTAGATCATACAAATAAAATCAAATTTTTATTTTTAAACGTGGACAAATATTTAATCTAAAGAACTAAATACAAAAAATTGATCACATTTTCAAAATCTAAACAAATAGAGAAAATGTTGTTGTCTACTATTCGCTAGTGCAAATGCAATGTTGGACTTTGAGCCGGTCGAAGTCGAATAGATTGGTAGAGTGCGGGTGACATTTTATTAACAAAAGATATTGGTGGATGACTTAAACTACGATATGACTTTTAATACTTTTATAATAATTGAGTCTCCAAATTTTAAAGATTTGTATTTTTGCAGAAAGACAATCAAGTTATTTGATCTCATCTCAATTTGACCCTAATGATTTTGTAATATAATACGTATAAAATTCGTAAATACGTTTAGGGTCAAAAATACGCGTATTATACGTTTGTCCCATTAAAAATTCGTATTCGGGAGTATAATACGTGTATCATACGTACGGGTGTATAATACGCGTATTATACGCGAATAAGCTAACAGAGCTAATAACAACATTCTGGTAACGGTGGGCGGAGCTCTAGTGGCAGTGAGGTGGGGCAGTGTGAACTCTAATTTATGTTTAAAAAAATATTACTTCTATTTGGTGGTTTTATTTGACTTTGTATTTTTGCTTATATTTAGTGAATTCTCCAATATACCTTCGTTTCAAAATCTTTGTCACATTATCGAAAATGATGAAATGAAATTTTAATTTTTTTTCAATTCATTTTATTTAAAGATTGGTGTAAAAAATAAAAATAAAATTTACATATCTAAAAATTATGTCAAAAATTCTTCAAACAAAAGGCACTAAAAATATCTTATTTTATCATATAATCGATAAAAAGTAGTAATAAACAAAACTTGCATAATTTTTTGAATGATGAACTTTGGCATTCTTTTTAGAAGGGGGGAAGTATTTAACTCATTATTAGTTCACTCTTCAAATTCAAATTCACTCTTATTGTTTACATTTCAAAATTATATTTTTGTGACATTTTCATTAATTGTTTAATGCGGAGTAATATATAATAGTCATCCTTTTATTTGTAGATTTTTTTGGTAAATTAAACCGAGCAAAAAAGACAAAAATAAAAGTAAAAGATTGAAAATATACCAAAATAGGAGTTTCATATTTTTACTCTCCAAATAGGAGTTAAAATACATTTACATTATCAATCAAGACCATGTACCTTACAGTATTTTATTTTAATATTTTCACTATTTTTTACTCATATTTAGAGTGATTTCTTCTAAAACAATAACTTTGTATTGAGTCAATGCCACCGCTTCCAAAGGAATCAAATTTGGGTTAGCATAATATTACTCCCTACGTCCCTAAATATTTGTCACACTTGTATTCCCGAGGTAAAATATCAAGCTTTTTCAATTCATTTTATTTACATATTGGTATAGAGATAAAAAATAAAATTTACATATCAAAAAACTACATGAAAAGTTCTTCGAAATAAGAAGTATCAAGAATATTTTATTTTATCAAATAACCAATAAATACGTAGAAACAAACAAAAAGTTCCCGCGATTGCTGAAAAAGCAAATGTTGTACCCCGGAGTAAATATTTTGGGACGGAAGTAATATTTAATTTAATGTGTCGAAAATGTACTTGTAGTGTTAAAAGTTTATTCAAAACCTGAATACCGTATTAATTGAGTAATTGGAAATGTTATTGTTCTAAAAAACACAATTATGGCGCTTAATTGGCGTTTTCCTTCTATTTTTGTCCTCTTTTCTTTGCAACTTTCTTTTCTTTTTGGTTCATCTTAACATTTGTTTTTCTAATCGAAATCAAAAAAAAAGAAACAAAGTTTTTTGGAATATATTGGGATGCTTTCATTGCCTTAATTTTCACCCCAATCTTTGGCATATAAATAACATCTATTCTATTTTTAGTGTTTAATCTCAACGACTAATATATAAAATGTGTTTTGTATAATATTCTTACTATGTACTATTCCCTCCGTCCTAAAACTTTCTTCCCAGTTCGCAAAACGAAGAAAAATCCCAAGTTTTTTCAATCTATTTTATTTAAATATTGGTATAGAAATAAAAAATAAAACATACATATTTAAAAACTACATCAAAAGTTCAACAAAACAAGTTGTGACAAAAATATTTTATTTTATCATATAGGCCATGAAAAAACACATAAATATAAATTCCCGTGAAGTTAGAGCAGTGCTCTGGGAAGAAAGTTTTAGGACGGAGGGAGTATTATTTATTTGAATATCACTATGACACTATGTTTGGTTCAAGGAATTTGAAAGGGAAAAGAAAAGAAAAAGAAGTGGAAAACCATTTTTCTTGTTTGATTAGAGGGGAAAAGAAAGGAAAAGTAGAAAGAAAAGAAAATGAGGAGGCAAAATGTACCAAGTGGAGGAAAAATCAAATTCCTTCAATTTTGGTGAGGAAAATGAAAGAAAATCATTTTCTTTTCTTTTCCTTCCAAATTCCTTGAACCAAACATAGTGTGAATGTGTCAATGTATGATACAGAGTAAATACGGTCCGGTTCTAGTGACACCGGAGAACGGTGCCACTCCGGTGCCACTAGGTTTTTGGGGCACCTCCGGTGCTCCGTTCGTAAAATTGACGGTTCCTACCCCCCCTAACCCACCCCCTANGACTATTATGGGTTTTAAGGACAATCTGGAATACCTGATTCTGTTGTCGAGTCTAGGTGTTATGTGTATAGCACTGCCCTGTTGCATCTCTCTCTCTCCATGCTCCAATTATCTTTTTACATCTCACTTTCTAACATTTAATTTAACAAAAAATAATAAAATATAAATATGTAAATATTCGCTAGGTCTTAAAGAGTATTCCCACAGCAGAACACGAAGAAAAAATAAATCGATATATAAGCTCTTAAGTTGAACTAAAATAATCAATTGGATTTAATTTTTTTAGTATGATTCAACTCAAGTTTCTTATTACTAAATAGATTTATCTCTACGTCATCTTAATTTTATCACTACGAGGCTGGCTAGTGACTGCCAAATTATGGATAATACATTAATACAATAATACCCCTCACTTTACATGATTAATACGGAGTATCTACTATTGACTTGGTCCATCCAAATTCGTTCATTAATGTATTTCGATATTTTTAAAAATGTAAAATATGCCGTTAAATTTAAGACAACTATGGGAGTAAAATCAAAATTAATCGATTTTTTCCGCCAGGGAGGATGTAAATTATTGGTGAGTATAATAATCTTCCTAAATGAATGGGACTATAAACTTATGATTATGATGCATTTTATCCCAAAACAAAACAAAAAACAAAATGAAAAGAAAGGAAAAAGATACAGATGCATTTTATCCCTTAGTTGAGGTCACGTTCAAATGTTCAATCGATACCTTTGACCAAATATTTGTAACAAAGTCATACTGACATTTTTGAGAAATGTGACGAAGAAAAAATATGAATAAGATAAAAATAAATAGTTTAGATTTATTGATTAAAAACTAAATGCCACGAACTACAAGTTCCTCTATTTCAAAAAAATATCTCAAATAATCCCACTTTTCACGTTTTTAAAAAATA